CCTTTTATATGCCATATATTCTATAGTGGTTCTATGTTGTGATATGAAATGATGAATTAGGCGGTTCAGTGTCACAAACAGATGAAGCCCTAGAAATAGGTTCCAGACACATAAGTCACCATGGCTGTTATTTCCTAATCTCGCAATACTGACCTGTTGTCTTGTCTCTTCAAGCCGAAGTGATTCGACTGAGCCCCAGTCCCCCTCAGACCTCCTTCCCATGTCTCCGAGTGTATATGCAGTGCTGAGAGAGAACCTGAGTCCCGCAACCATCGAAACTGCTGTATGTTCCTTTCTTTTCCATTGCTGCTCCAAGCCCTTTACAAGGAGGCATGCGGGGTGTGAATCAGAGCGGGGAGACGCGCACCATGCATGGTGCTGGTGTCTCTGTTACTGCAGGTGTTGAAAGCAGACGCCTTACTTTGCCCGAACTGCTTTATTAAATTCTATCAAAAACCACCAGGGGGCAAAATATCCCCATCCACCACACCAGCGCAGCGTCCCTAGTCTCAGGCCCCACCAGTCCCTGCACTCTCTCCACTTTAGCAAACAACATATACGTACTAGTGAGTATTCCTAAGCTTGCTTTAACATCTATTCCAACAGTCCCAGCACCACAGACCCCAATCTTCACGATGGTTACTTGCATGAGCAGTCTCAGATCCCCTCCAAGTCTTCCAGGAATAACCATTAACAGCAGCATAATACTCCACTTCTTTCCGAAATTCTGATCTGTAGTGTGTGGATGTTACCCACAATTCATTCTGTTTATTTTTATCCCTCCAAATTGTCAAGTTCATGCTCCTAATTTACACGAAAGTGATGTTCATCTACATAGAATCTTGGAAGGATCCTGAGACTCCAGATTTATATCTGGTTAGAAACCAAGTGGTATTTAGTCCTTCTCTTTCCAGGGATGGAAAACTCCACACTCCTCTCTGATAACTTATCCCGTTGTTGATTGCCCTTAACTCACTAAGTTTTTATGTCTAACTGAACTTTTACTGCATTTTACACCCACTTTTTCATTGCATTTTTGGTGCAGTGAATGGGCTTCCCTCCTCATACAGTTTTCAATCTACTCAAAAGGTGCCTTTTATTTCACATTAATCAACACAAATTACTTTTCTTGAGTACTTAGTAGTCAATAGGTAGAAAGAGTATAAAGCATTTAGTAGACAAGAAGAGAAAAAGTGATTTATGGGCAGTTTCCTCAACAATATTTTCATTTTCAATTGTAGATGAAGTCGCCGTATTCTGCTGACTGACCGGATAAACTCTGCCATGTCAAAGGAAGCAAATGAAAAAGTTTAGAGACTGTTCTTTGCCAAAGATAACATCTTATATCTTCAGCTTTGTAAATACTGGTTTCAGGGAAATGGACAAATGATAGGAATCCGAAACACCCCCTCACTGGCCTGATACCCCAACTGGGAGTGCTGCAACTGCAGGCCAAAAACCAAGCTGCAGGTCAACCCAGAAGACGTGCTACCTTTAAGGAATCAGTATTAGTAACAATATAATATCAACAAAATACAGTACTCCTGTGTATGTGGGTCTTTTTTTTTTCTGATTTTATATCCCAAGTGCTGCTTATGATTTGGGCTCTGGAAAGTGTAAGTGTTAAAGTTTAGGAAAAGAGATGCTTACCTAGCTCCAAGCAAGCAGGAAGGCCAGGGAAGGCAAATCAGAGCCGTCACACAGATTCAGGATAGGTACAAGGACGAGGCCCCTACAGTAGCAACTCACAGCCCCCAGGGCTGAACTGTGATGCCTCTTAATTAGCAGCTCAACACTGTCCCAGCTATGAGTCTCATGGCTGCTGGTGCCACCCTGGGCACCCGTCTTACTGGGCAGAGGGATCCAGGGTCACTCCTAGCAGTATCTTAAATTGCATGATATTCCAGGCGCTGAAAGTAGACACTGGGGTAAGAATCTCCTGAACTGAGTGCTGGGAGAGTAATAGCCCTGCCTTGGGTAACTGATTTAGTCTGTGTGTTGTGCCTTCTCCATTTCTAGAAAAGACTGAACTAGATGGACCAATGCTTCTTTCCAGTTCTACCAGCTTCTGCTCCCCAGAATTTAACCTGAGACCTCAGAAAAGCGAAGAAGTGCTATTCCTTTGGCATGCTGTGTTTTGCTGGGTGGAAATGAATATGTATGAGCTTTGGGTCTACTTTGGCCCCTGCCTCACTATGATCCAATGCTTAGTGGCACCACTGCCCAGCTGCTGACCTCAGTAGTAGTATGAGGTCCCCAACACTCAAGACCTGAAGGTTCCCTGTATTTGATAAGCCCCTGGGAAGCTGCTGAGCCAGGAGAGGAAATTGTACTACTGAGGCATCTTCCATGACCAACTGCAGAAACTCTAAACCAGCATAAGCTTTGCTGTAGAGTCAGAGATCCCAGTGCCGTCAAAGGGCTCCTCTCTCCTTCCACCCACATTCTGGCCCCCAGGCAAACCCAACAGGCATAGACTCAAATTTGTCATGGTTTATATTTAGATCTCTCCTCCCAAAGCCTCATTGTGATCATAGGCTTTGGGGATTTGATTGGATTATGAGGGTTTATGACTGACTTTCTGCTACGAGCTGGCATCGGGACAGAAGTATTGAGTCACTGTGGACACGGCCTGGTAAGGTATATCTCCCTGATGGGATCCTCCCTTCCCTCTCTGCTTCCTGTCCACCATACCATAAGCAGCTCTGCTCCGCCATACCCCTCTGCCGTGCTGTCCTGCCCTGGACTGCCCCTTACTATGCACTGAATTGTGAGCCAAAACAAACCACTCCTCCTTTAAGCTGTGGGTGTCAGGTACTGTGTCTCCGTGTGAAGAAAGTGACTAAGACATTTCAAGGGGAGAAATTGGCTTTTACTATACTAACGTGCCTTTTCCCTAGAGATCCCACATGACTAATCTTGCCCTTTTATACCCATCCACATGTGCCCAAGTGAATTCTAGACTGTTCCCATGGGTCAACTCTTCTGTGGCTCGAAAGCCAGCTCCCTTGCTCCTTTGCACGCTCCTGACAGTACCCTTAGGGCTAAGGTGTCTGGCGATGGAGGACCACATCTTTTTCAAGGTGCCTTTTCCCAGTCTCTGCTTCCCTGCACAAACCCAGTCTTCTGAACTGGCCTGAGACTTATATCAACTGACAGAAGAGTTGGAAGAAATAACATAAACCTGAGTGTTATTATTACAGTTTTATATTTGAAAAAGTAATTTGCTACCAAGGAATATTCAGACAAGTAGATTTAGATACCAAAAAGCTGCATAAGCTCATTCGCTAGAATGAATCAAGAGTACCATGGAGACTTAGCAGCCTTCCCTACCATGCAGACATTTGAAAATATATTTGTCACTATAGAGCCTGGTGAGGTTTCCCATGTGATCACAGCCATCGTCACTAAGGCTAGAAAACACAAGGAAGTCTATGGTTTGCTTCTTATAGTGAAGGCACAGGTCACATTATTAGGTTGCAATAAGTGGCAATTTGTATTTGGAACCAAAAGTCAAAATCAAGTTTTTGACCTCAGGGTAACAAGTTATTTCCCAAGAGTATGAGTCTGGCACTCCAGAAATCATCTTCATGGGGGAAATGGGAATTTATTAGAGGATTCCAAAGGATACCTATTTAGTCCAAAATAAGACATCCCACATGAGCTACAAATGCAATGGGAAGGGACTTTGGACTGTATTTCCAGCAAACTCCATCCCAGAATATTTTTTGTGCAAACTATGACTTAGTTCAGATGACTATAAAAGTAAGCAGTTTCTAAGCAACAGAAATTTATTTCTCACAGTTCTGGGAGCATGAGATCTGAGAACAAGTTTTGGCCAGGGCCAGAGTCCAGTGAGAGCCTTTTCCGGGGAGCAGGCAGCCGACTTCTCATCTCCTGGTAGAACCCTCAGATTAGCAGCGAGCTCGCCGTCACCAGGTCTCCTCATGAGGACCCTGCTTCTTGTGACCCCACTGTCTCCTAGCAGCACCACTTTGGGGGTTAGAATTTCCACATATGAACTTGGGGGCAAGGAACAAACTTTCCAGTTCATAACAAGCTAGTGACAAGCTATATTTAATAAAATATAGATTTATTTTCCACATACATATCACATGTTCACTTCTTCCCTCCCTCACCCCAGACCAATCACAAATAAGCATTTTGCTGATAACTTTTCACATTTTTAAAATGTAATCGCTCGAACAATGTGTTCTGAGTATCAGTGCCTTTATCCAGACTGTGGAAAGAAGGCTGCTGGCCAGAAGCTTCCCTTCAAATCTAAGGTAGTAAGGAGGGGCGTGGCCATCCTAGGGCTCTGTTCTAGCCACATCATCCAGACTTAAACTTGAATCAGTGTGCATGGGCTCCAGTTTCTAATGTAGGCTAAAACTTTGTAAGTTGTGAACATTTATTGATTTGACATTGCATTTTAAAATCTGGCTTATAAGGGCATATTCAGAGTACAATTCACCCTTTTTCTTCATGCTAGTCTATGAATTCTAACAAATCCACATGAGTGTGCACCTACCTCTGTAAGACACAGGGAATGGCCAACACAATTCTCACAGGAAGGTGTTGTAAGGACATGGTTAAAGACATTCTGTGCAACCTGCTCCCAGGAAATACAACTCCATGTAGCTTCTCATATGCACAAAGGGCTCCATTGCACATACATTGGACCATTTCACTCCTTGCTGAAATCTTTGAATGATATCACTACATTAGCAATTCTTGCTGGGGTGTATGGGCAGGACATAGGGTTTATAAATTTGAATGGCAAAAGTTACAGTTTTATTTCTAGAACCTTCCAGCTGAAGATTTTAATTTCCATTGATTAAGGGCAGCAAACCCACACCACTTTTCTATGATATCATAGTTGTTACAATTAACTCAAAATATTGTTTATGCTAAACATACCTTGGAAATTGCATTCATCAGACCCACTGCCAAATCTTGTTACTTAATGCCATTTATAAAAAAGCACTTATATTACAAAGGAGGTTTCAATATGGTTTTAATATATCACAAAGTTGGCTCACTGTATTTCAATACAAATGGTTTCCTTTTTAATCTTGTGTGTTTTATTTAAACAAAAACATTATTCTTCAAAGGAGTTTATAGGTTTTGTCAGGCTGCCAAAGGGTTTATGCCACCAAAACATTTTGTAAAACACAGTTAGGAATTCCAGTGCTGGAGAAAGGCTGTAATTCTCAACAGATTTCCCACAGTCACACACAGTCTTTGGTCTCCGTCTTCAGCTCTCATCACTTCTCATCCAAAGCCCCCCCATCCTCCAACACGCAGACACGCAGGACTGACTGAACTGCTTTCAGTTTCTCTGGTGGCTCAGGCTCTTTGCCAACGCCCTGGGCCATGGCCTCTCTGGCCAACCCTGGATGTTGTTCATGCACCCCCAGGCTCCCCACAGCCTTCCTGCCAAGTGCACATGTGTAAACACCTTCACAAAACCTGTGCAAGAAAGACGCAGTCACACCCTGCCTTCTTCGTAGCTTCCTCTGGAACCCCACCCAGCACTCCTTATGATGCTATCGATGGGCAGCACCTGTCCCTCATCAAACTCCAAGCAACCCTCACGTGTGGGGACCAAGATGGCCTTGCTCGTGGTTCCATTCCTGGAACCCAGCACAGTCTGCCCCTTAATAAATATTTGCTGATGAATTAGTGTTTGAACACTAGTAGTGTGCCAGATAATGGTTCATTCCGTCCTTTCCTTTGGTCTTTGTTCTGTCTGCAGAACTAAGGTACAATTCTCTGGATGATACCTCCAAACCTCAAATTGCCTCTACTACACCCCAACTGACAACAACATGCTCACTCTTGACAAACACACAACTTTTTTCTCTATTTCACCTCCCCTTAACTTCCAAGCTCTGTGGAAATGGTCTAGAATGGCACTTACCCTAACTTCCCTATGATTTAGACATCATCTCATAGGTGCATAATAACCACCTACCCACAGAGGAACCAAGTGTTCCTGAAATTTCCCTTAACGCTCCCTCTGTTAAACCCATGACTCCTACAACCCATAAACTCCCTCCTACTCCCGGCCATGGACAAAGTCCAACACAACACCCTCTTACATCAGGCTTGACAGTCCTCCCCTGAGACGTCTTATGAACTGTTACAGACAGAAAGAAATCTAAAATCTAGATGCCACCAGACAGGGTAGGGAGAGGGCAAAGGGCAGGGGTATGGAAGGTCACTCTCCTTACAACCCTTCAGGGAAGATTTTCAGAACCTCCATGCTCAAACAGTCTCCTCTTCCTCATTTTTGGGGCTCGGAGCCACTGCTGAAGCCCGAAGTCCGAATGGGGAAGCCTGTGACTGCACTCCCAGCGGGGGGTCAGTGATGTTCCTCCATTCCACAGATATGTTCGAGGACTCCTCTGGATCAGTTACGCCTTTCTCATCTGAACCACAAGACCCAGGAAGTGATTTTCTTGACGATTTTGTAAGTTCTTCCAAGGACGGCAGACAATGCCATTGGGAATATACAGGAGAGAAGGCAATTCACCACACACACTGGAATCTTGGGGCCTTACGTTTAATCCGCCGCTCACAGAACCCCGTATCAGAAAGGCAGCAGAACAGCGCAAAGCTTTTCCTGTTTCCCTTATGCCCTGGCGAGGAGAGATGAAAACAGTAAAATAACTCAGGAGAGGCTGAAGGATATGAGGGTTGGAAGTATGTTGCAGAGGCACCGCAAGTGAAGGTCTCTCTGAGGCTGTGGTGACTGAACAGAGACCTAAAACACAAGAAGAAGCCAGTCCAGGAGCACTGTCAGGAAAGCAGTACCCCAAAACCACAGAAGTCGTGTGCATAGGACTCGGCAGGCAAAAACTTGGGGCATTTGAAGAGCGGAAGGAGGGTTGGCGGGGGGAGTGGGGCAAAATGAGGGAGAGGGCAGGCTGTGCGGTGCCCCACAGGCCAAGCTGAGGGCTCATAGCAAATGTCATAGAGCCCATTTCACACAGGACTGTAAATAGGGGCGCGGTGTTGTAAAGGGTGCGTCCTCAGTACACCTCAGTTGCTGCTTAAGGAACGTCCAGCGAGGTGTCCACGGAAGCCAGACCCTAGCTCGCCCTGAGGATCGGTTCCCTAGGCGCACCCGGCCCATCCTAAACGTCTTCCTAAGTTTTGGATACAGGCCTCACATTTTCAATTGCACCTGGCCCTGCAAATTGTACCGCTGATCCTGGGTGCTGCTTCTTAGAACACGGAAAAATAAACGCGCGCCTGCTCCTGGGGGTTCACAGCAAGTGCCCACGAGGCCTGCAGACCCCGGGGGCGCCGGGCCAGCGGCACAGCAGGAGGTCCCCTCCCCACTGCGGGATCCGCGGTCTGAAGCCGACGCCCGGCCTCCCTGATCGAGGGACAAACTCAGCAAGCTGGGCCCCAGCTGCTTTTGCTCGGCTGCACTGGAAATCGCTGGCTAGTTTCCCAGCTGTTCTCCGGGGTAGCGGCCAGCAACACGCGGCACCCGGTAATCGCGGGAGGTCCCCTCGCTGCCCCTGACTGTCACCTGATCGCGCTCTCTCCTCGGTTTTGTGCAGGGTCCAACAAGCTCGCTCTGACCAAGTGGACGAGCCTCCCGCGGCCACGCCCCCAGACGGCCACGCCCCCAGACGGCCACGCCCTATAGGAGGCCCCGCCTCCCAGACAGGCCGCTCCCGGTCACGCCCACACCGCCAGTTGAACCCCGCAGTCCGGAGGTCAGCGGGAAATCCCAGGGCCGCGCCTGCGCACTGCGCCCCGCGCAGCTTTCGCTTTTCGGTTTCCTATTAAAGGGCCGCTTCTCGCTCTTGGTCTGTTTCCCCGAAACCACGTGGGGTGGCTCTTCCGAACATGGGCGCCCCTCCCGCCGCAGTGCCCGGATGGCGTCTCGCGGCGCCCCCTCGCGGAGGCCGGAGGCTCCGTAGGGACGTCGCAGTCCACACGGCTGGCGGGCGCGGATATTTAAAAGACTGAAAAAATGGTCCGCTTCCCAGAACCATGTCCATTTTAGAATATTCTCTGCGCTTACATTTGTTTATATTTCTGTGTATTCTTACAGTAGGATGACACTGTTTTCTAACCATCTTCATTTAACTTTTTAAGTGAGTATTTTCCAGTGTGATTAAATGTCTTGGAAAGCACAGCTTTGATATTCTATAAGCAGTGCTTTATCAGTCGCAAGCACAGGTCGCTTCTGATATTTTATGATTATAAATGAAGCTGCCATGCACACCTTTGGATACAACTGTCACCTATGCCTAGTCATTTCCTTGTAGATTTTCTGGAGGCCCAAGACTTCTGAAAAATGATTTGTGTTCTCTGCATTACAACATTCAACAGGATTCTGGGTGTCGAGCCAGAACACCGCTTGTGTGCATGTGTCATGCTCCTAAAATACTCACGGCTTTCCATCACACCAGAGTGAAATATCTCAGGCACCCCCAGCAGTTTTGTCCAACCCTGCTTTGTACCCCCGCATATAGTAAGCGGCTGTGCAGACAGCTTCTTACAGATTTGCACCTTTTACCTGAGAATAATGCAGTTGCTCAACCAATGCAAGTAAGGGATCGTACAAAATCCAAGTCCCGAGTCCAAACTAAAGGATGTAGAATTTGGAATTTGGAAATCAGGAGTCCTTCGCTTCAATTCCATTGTGTTACAGGTGGACAAAGCAGACTTCCACTGACAGACCTGCTCCAGGTTGCACGGTGGCAAGGCTTACCATCGGAAGGCAGGAGGGTGAGGAGGCACCGGCATTTTTAGAAATGCCTGTACTAGATGTGTGAGTTAGTGCAATATCACCAGCGTTAGGAAAACACTGCTAAAATACAATATGGTGGCTGGAAAGAGAGGGAAGTCTCTCACACTTACTTTGGGCTTGTTCATCAGCAGTCACAGGTCAAGGGTATAAAGAGCCCAGTGCAAGGCAGGCTTTGGAGAGGACAGGATGAGGACCCACAGGCTGACGCCTTGGAAACGAGAGGCCCAGGGGAAAGGCTGGCAGTGGCAAGGGCGGTAAGTGATCGTACTCGGGGAATTCTGTTTCAGGGGTCAGTTGTAGCAAGCCTAATTCTACTCAGAAGATCGATACCATTGATCTGATACAGAGCGCTTGCTGCTGCAGGGCAAACCAAACTTTCCCAAACTCGGTGAGATGAGACAAGCACTTATCATGGCTCCAGATCTAGGGGAGGCTCAGATCAGCCAGCCGGGCCAGGCCTGTCTGGTCCTGCCTGGGTTCTCATGGTTGAAGGGCTTGGATCGTGACTCTGATCCAGCCATGGCCTGTGGCCCTTCATCTGGCAGAGGATGAGCTGTGCTTTTCATGGAGCCTGAGCAGGGCTCTGAGAGCTCACAAGACTAAGCTCCAAATGACGCAGCATCACATCTACTGCCCGGTGTTGGTCAAGTCTAGTTACAGGCCACTGGATCCAGTGACCAGGGAATCTTCTGCTGGAAGGAACTAGAGTCACGTTGCAAAGAGATATAGATAACAGAGAAGGGAATGAGGTGGCTTGTTGAAAATAATCCACCAGAAGATCCTTCCTGATTTGGTATGATGAGGACTATGTAAGTGATAATATCTTTTGCCGGGGCTTGTAAGCTTGTGTTCTTTATATTTCTAGTCTCTGTAAATATTTCTGTATAAATTGCTTTAAATACTTTGTACAACACCGGGCATGGTGTAGCATGCCTGTAATCTCAGCATTCTGGGAATTTGAGACAGAGCATCCCAAGTTCGAGCCCAGCCTGGGCAACTTAGCAGCTCAGCAACACCCTGTCTCACAATAAAAAATGCAAAGAGGGGTGGTAGCACAGTGGGATGACCTTTGGGTTCAGTTTCCAGCAGTGAAAAGGATGCTTTGTCCAATAAGGCAGTTATGACCAACTGAACTAGGTGACTGGGGAATACAAGGACTGAATAAAGAACAGGAGTCACATTGCACAGATTCTTCTGCAGAGCAAACCTCCAAGTGGAGGGGCTGGCATGGCTTCTAGGAGGCTTTGCACATAACATCATGCGACATCATGCGACGTGGTAGGATGTGGTTTCCAGACTCCTGATCACCCTTGCCTCTCTATTCACTAGCAGGGAGATGAAAATGCCTGCATTTCATCTTATTTCTGACTGGCCGCTGGTGACAAACAGGACTGCCGTTTGTTGCTCTTTTCTTTTTAAAACCAACACAAGTCTTTGCATTTATTGCTTTAAATTATACCATATTGGTTCCAGCCCAGCAGCTTTCTAGCTTGCTAAGATGATTTAGGGTTTTCCTTGTTCACTGGGAAAGAGTTATGTCCGTGGAGGTGGAGGCATCTTAGCAACACACAATGACAAACACACACTTCTCACTTGGGGGCCTGCAGGGCAGCTGCAGCCATCTGTGCCAGGTGGCAGATTCAAGGGGGTCCACATGCCTCTCTTTCCAGGACTCAGGCTAGAGGAGCAGCCGCTATAGGGGGAAGAGGCAGGTTGTCTCCCAGAGCAGGCAGGGACCACACAATGGCAAATCAGTCCCTATAGAGCACACACAGTTCCGGGTCAGATGGTGTGACCTGAAAACTGCTGCCCTCCCTTTGGCCAGAGCAAGGCCTCTGGAGCACAGACAGGAACACTCTATCCTTAGTGAACCCGTGATGGTGCAGGAAGGGAAAGACAAGGTTTGAAAACAACACAACTTACCAGACATGGAATGAGCTACTGTTTTTCTAGTTATATGCCTTATGCAACTATGATATTGCTGATAGATACAGCTTCCCAAGCTGATGTCTGTCATGGGTTTGGATCTTGCTGTTGATCTCTAGCTTTTCATTTTTTTTTTTTTAGATGAAAGCAGTCTTATGAAAAAATAAATTAATTAAAGCAGTCAACGTATTAAGTAGCCACACTTATAGTTCACCTGATAATAATTCAGAGTCATACAGGGCTAAGACTTGGATGCTTCAGCAATCATAATAACAAAGGAGCATTAATATTTATAGCATTAAGGAGAGGGCAGGACATAGAGTTCAGCTGGGTCACTGGACAGTGACAGGAGAGGCTGCAAAGAAAGGCAGGGACACTTGTGGAGGATCCAGACCAGAAGTTGGCTCGCTACTGGCTCTAGTAGAGTGCATGCATGACGACGTACACACATAGTTCATATCCCTGGGGACTTATGTAGATCCTTCTCCCATCCAAAGTCGCCTCATTGTTCAAGTGGATTCAGATCCCATGCACTTGAAGGAACCAGTTGGTTGTATGGCTCTCGGTGATACCTACACAGGGAGGTGACACTGAAGCTGAGGTCTGAAGCCAACACATGAAAGAAAAGTCAGGCAGCAAAGACGATGGGGAAGAGGGATGCTGCTAAGGGGTTTTCCAAAGACAGCACTGCTGGTAAGAAGGCCCTGAGCTTGGGCAAGAGCTTGTGGCATATTTGATGAGCAACATGCTGAAGTAAGCAAAAGAGGATAGCACAAGACAGGGTTAGAAAAAGTGACAGGGGAGCCAGGACTTTATAGCTGCTGGAATCGTGTAAGCGCAAGAAAAACCACTAGAAGATTTTCAGGTTAGCCAGTGAGAGCTACTTTGCAGCTTTAAAAAAAAAAAAACTTAAAAATTTTTATTTTATTTTAAAGAGAAAAGAACAAAAAGAAATTAGCAAACACAAAGACATAAACAAAACAACACAAAAACAATAAAAATGATACACAATTTCAAACAAGATAATAGGAAATTAACAATGGTTGTTGTACTACATATTGTTAAAAAAAATTTTTTTTAATTTGCAATTTAAAAAAAATCACTTGGGGCCAGGGAGATAGTTCAGGGCTAGAGCGCTTGCCTAGCAGGTGCAAGGGCCTGGGTTCCAGCCTAGGACTGAAGAAAATATTCACAGCAACTGAAGTACGAAGAACGCAGTGCATGGGCTGAGAGCTGGGGTAAGGCAGCCCTCTGGGAACCCACACAATAATCGGGTGAGGCAAAGAGGGTGGCGGAGGAGAGGGAAAGGCAAATCGGGACTTGGAAACTAATCAGGAGAAGGAATCAAGGAGTCTGAGTCTCAGGGGCGGGGGCAGTGGGCAAGCGAGGATGACGTCTAGGATCTGGGCATGCACGGTTAACAGAAAATGAGCAGGTCTAAGGAGAAAGAGGGTGGCTTTGGTATTGTAAGTATTTACATTTCTTAGTAGTATGCCTTTGCAGTAGTAATGGTTACACTCACCGGGGAGAGCTGAGACACACACATCTAAATTCCCTTTACTTTTCCTTCTCCGCCTTTCACTCCCTCCTCATCTCTACAGTCCCCTTCACATTTACAAAAGATCTATCTCCGTTTCCTACTGTCTGTATTTACTTTGCTTTTTGAATTATTTATATTTCAAATTACTTATATAAGAGAAACCATGTGATATTTAAGCTTGTGTGTCTGATTTATTTCATTTCACATTATGGTCTAAAGAGCATCCATTTTTCCTACAAATAATTCAGGTTTATCCTTCTTTATGACAGACTAGCAGTCCACAGTGTATAAATATCACATTATCTTTATCCACTTGTCTGTCGGACATACAGGCTGCTTCTAAGGTTTAGTATGAGTTGTGCGGCTGTAAACGTGGGTATGCGTTATCACTGTAACAGGATGTCTTTCACTCTTTGGGGAAGATACCTAGAGAACAGTTGTGTCGATTGGAACTTCTACTTTTAGTTTTCTGAGGAGCCTCCATACGGGTTTCCATACTGCTTATACTAGTTCACATCCCCACTCGCAAGGAAGAAGGGATCCTCCTCCACCTGCAGCCTCGCCAGCATCTGTTGCTTGATTTCTTTTTTCTTTTCTTTTTTTTTGGGGGGGGGGGCGCTGGGACTGGGAATCGAACTCAAGACCTTGCGCTTGCCAGGCAGGCGCTTGTGTCGCTGAGCTATATCCCGGCCCTCGTTATTTGATTTCTGAATGATGACAATTCTCTCCGGGGTAAGGCAGAATCTCGGAGTAGTTTTTGTTTGTTTTGTTTTTTTTTTTTTTGGTTTTTCTCCGATACCGGGAACCGAACTCATGACCTTGCGCTTGCCAGGCAGGCGCTTTTGCCACTGAGCTAAATCCCCAGCCCCTCGGAGTAGTTTTAATTTGCATCTCTCCACGGCTTGGCGCTGAGCATCACTAGTGCCCTGGCAGAGGTCCCTGGGTAGCCCCGTAGGGCCACGTACAGTGGTTCGTCTTTCATCTTTAGGAGCCACGGTTCATCTTGAGGAGGCTCCATCTAGAAGGGCGCAGAAGCTCTTAAGGGCAGCTGGGAATGACTGGCCCAAGGTCAGGCTGTGACAGAGAAAGCAGCCCGGAGTAAGGAGGCTGTGCTGTCATGGCGACCAAAGAACAAGGCCTTGCAGGCCTGCAGCTTCCACTGTGCCCACGGCTTCAAGGCAGTCAGGCAAAGCGAGGGCCAAAATGTCTTCAGTCTGGGTTCAGCAACAGGAAGTCGGCTGCTAAGCTATTGCAGGATGACCTGGCGCTTGGCTCTGTCCACCGCCCTTGCTGGCGTCGCAACGGACGCAGGCGCAGAACTCCTTTCTCGCCTTCTCCCGGCACGCGGACGCCAGGGCCCCGCCCCCGGCTGGGCTCGCCGAGGGAGGCGCGCCTTGCACGGAACAGCCACGTCTGATTGGCGGGCCGCGGAGCCCGGCGATTGGCCGAGGCGGGAAGGAGGAAAGGGGCGTGGCCGGCGGGGCATTTTCTGAGGCCGCTGCTTTCGTTTTCCTGCGTGCTGTCTGGGTGCTGCGCTGGCTGTGCCCGACCCCTCTGCGCCCACCTCCGCCGAATCCCCGGCTTTGCGATCGCCGGGAAGATCGAGCTTCCCTGTGGCTCGCGCCGCCCCGCGGAGCCCTCCTCCCGGTGTCCGTCCCCTTCCTCGCGGCACCGTCCGCTTCCTTTTGCGGAAAGTTTGATCGCTGTCCCGGCTGAGCCAGTCGAGTCCGACTCCTGCCTGGGCGGCTGCAGCCTCTGAAACCCAGGCCCTCGCGGCGCACGCCGGCAGGTCAGTGAGCGTCCTGTAGACGAACGCGTCTGCAGTCTTTGTTGCTGTGGTTTTTAATTTTCTATTTTGGTCCGTGTTTGCAGTATGCGGTGATTGCATTCCTCGCGGGCAGTTGGTACAGAGACAAAACACATCTCGATACTTTTCTCATTCCCTTCCCTGCCCTCCCTCTCTTCTCTCCTGGTCCTGTGCCACTTGCCAAGGTTCAATCCCCCAGTTTTCTGTTATCTATTCTCTGTTTTGTCCTATATTTATACTTTCGGTTTCTCATATAAATCATGCGATATTTAAGCCCGGTTTATTTGACTTAATTTTATGGCCCCAAGGTGCATCCATTATTACGTTTGGGGTGAAGAGTTTGCTGGTCTCCAGGAATGCAAAAGTGACATTTAGTTTCTGTACAACTAATATAATTGCTCTTTTAAAGATAAATTCTGAGCAGTACCAAAGAGCTCTTGGGTAGGTATATAGATGTGCAGTTGTTCTTGCTTTCGATATTGTTTCTGTAGGTTAGAGAGGGAGTTGATGCGTTAGAAAGAAAACATAAGTCGCCAGCACAATCCAGCGTGTACCACTGATTCACGAGGTTGCTGCGCCGGAACTTACGGGATTGTTTGAAATACACAAGATTTCAGTTGAACAAACTGTTACTGAGCACATATTGTATGCAGGAAGCTTCAAGGCTCACAGGATGTTCAAAAAAGAAAAGTAATCCCGCGCGGTGCTGGAGCTTAACTCTACGCAAGATGAGAGGCGTCATAGTGCTTTACAAGGAAAATTGGTACAGGTGCAGGGTGCAGTGAGGGACCGTCAGGATTGTCTGTGGTAAGTCTCAGACCTGGAACGTTTATGCCTCATTTTGATTGCTGGGAAGATTGAGAGAGGCAGAGGTTTGTGCAAAGGCTGTTTTTGCGAGAGTTAGTGACAGCTGGATCCAGTCAGAAAACATGAATAGTCCCGGTCTGGGTTGCCTTGTGGATGGATGGAGGTGGGGTGGAAATCAGCCTGGGAATGGAGGGTGGAGGCATTTTCCACAGGAGTGTGGTCCAACCCCGTGCTTTGGAGGCCAGAGGAGGCTAGAGGTTGGAGGCAGGAGAAGGAGTCGACCCTGATATGGAGGTGATGGAGGGTGTTCGGGCCTCTCCCTGGGTTGGTACCAGGTTTCCTGAGAAGGCGGGATTGATTCTGGATGTGTGAATATATGTGTGAATATGTTGGATTTGAATACATTGATTTGCTGCTGTGTGCCAGGTACCCTGTTTGCATTAGCTCCTGCAGTTCTACCCAGTTTGTGGGGCAGGGAGCGAGTTACCGAGTTTCCTTAGCTCCTGGAGGAGGATGTAGCCTCCCCACTGCCTGCTGTGCCAGCAGGGAAGAGGGAGAGAGCTGCAGATCTGCAACCTTCTCTCAGAGAAAATAAATTTGAAGTGAAAAACACGGTTGCTAGAGCAGAGGTGCCGGGGTGGCCGTGAGTCCATCTTTACTGGTGTTGTGAGGGTGACTAGCTCTGGAGTACACAGCCCCTCGCTCTCTGGACAGATGTTGGTGGAGTAGATGGGACTTCGTGCCTGCACTTGTGTGTGCTCACAACAGCCTTGCATCCCCTCCGTGGCACGCCCCACCTGAAGATCAGACGCGTCCTCTGCGGCCTGGTGGGGTGAGATCCACTGTACCGTCCTGAGTGTTGCCAGGATACAGAGCCTGAGTCACAGGATGGCTGTGAGCGTCTGTTTTCCAAGCAGATTTTTGGACTTTCTTTTTTTTGGGTGTACCGGGAATTGAACTCGGGACCTCATGCTTGCCAGGCAGGCACTGCGCCACTGAGCTAAACCCGGCCTCCTGGACTTGCTTAAATCAGGGTTTTGTAATGTTTAATTTTGAGGACCACAATATAAAACTGACCACATAGTTATCCAAAGAGATAAGTATCAGTTTATTCTTTCAAGTTGCGTCTAACGTTGTTTTCATCTTTAAAGATCGTTTGTGAAATTTACGAGTTCTTTGTGCCAGATTTGTTGCTTGCAGTAGGCATAAAAAAGTATCTCTCTTTTAAAATGTATATAACAAAAATAATTAACTTTACTATGTGAACCATTAAACATAAAATACCGGTTAAAAGTATTTGGGATCAAATTACAAATGAACTGTAATTTATAGGAGAGCAGTTTTTAGAGAGTTATTATGACTTGCCTTAAATTTAGTAATGCTTTCCATTTATTTATTTGACAAAAGTACAATGTTGTTTTAAAGTCACATTTATTGGGCAATTACTTTGTGCCTGACATTGTTCTGGGGCTACAGCAATGAACAAAAATCCCCTAAATACTTCCCTTCATCAGGCTAAGACAAATGATAGTCAAAGTAAAAAATACATATATATATATACATAGTGCATCAGAGGGTGTGAGTACTGTGAAGAAAAACACTTCAGGGAAGAGGGCTCCTGTTTTCCAGGGTGAGAGGTGATTGCAGGTAGAGAAGGTGACCAGAAAGGGCTGCTCTGATTTGTGGACATGTGAATAAAGACCTGAAAATGTGTTTCCTGGAAAAGAAAAGAATGTAAACCAAAAATTCAATTAAAAAGCAGACCTCGGATATAGGCGCCATTTAAATAATATATTTCAGAGACCAATTCTGGCCCAGGTTAAGCTAGATAGGAAAGTAGTGGAGCCCGGGGTGCATGTTGGAGATAGGGGCTCCGTTCACCATGTGTGTTTTTCCCCTCTTAGGATGTCTCAGTGGTACGAGCTCCAGCAGCTGGACTCCAAATTCCTGGAGCAGGTCCACCAGCTTTACGATGACAGTTTCCCCATGGAAATCCGACAGTACCTGGCCCAGTGGCTAGAAAAGCAGGACTGGTGAGCAGAACTCACGGGACAGGGAAGAAAAGTTTCTCAATGCTTTAAAAATACTGGTTTGCGAAGATGAATCTCTTCCATAGCAGGGGGATCACCCGTCGCACAAAAATTTCATTTAAAAAAGGGCATGTGTCTGTGTGAAGCTAAATTCATTAGTCATGGGGCACTTTTACGTAGTTTTGTTAAATTTAAGTGTAGTATGTATTCGTAGATGCTTTGGAGAAGTTGGATGATACTGACATTAATTATTTTTCAATGTGACATCTAGATTATGGAAAGAACTAGATTCAAAGAATTAGTTCAAATTGTGGTAAAACATTGATTAAAAATATAAATAAGGCAATAAAATTAAGGGACTGCCTCTTAAAACTGGTACATGTTCTGACGGAAAAATCCTAAACACTCTGAAACTGTTTGACATACAGTGATGGCCCCATTGATTTTTTCTCATCAGCTGATAATCACCGTGAATAGTTCCTACACAATCTCTTAGGCATTGCACAATTTTTCATGCCAGTTTTACTTACATACTGAAAATGCTATGTAAATTTGCTGAAGGCCTTAGCATTTTAAAAAGGAAAAAAACTCAGACCTAAGAAACGCTTGAAATTTACTTCATAGTCTTTTTTGTTTTTTTGTTTTTGGTTTTTCTCCGGTACCAGGAACCGAACTCACGACCTTGCGCTTGCCAGGCAGGCGCTTTGCCGCTGAGCTAAATCCCCAGCTCTACTTCGTAGTCTTTTCAGTAAGGAAACGGCATTGTTTAAGCAGCTTCTAGAATGGGTGGGTGCTCTCTGTGTCTCCTAGGGAGCATGCGGCCACAGACGTGTCCTTCGCCACCATCCGCTTCCACGACCTCCTGTCACAGCTGGACGATCAGTACAGTCGCTTTTCTTTGGAGAATAACTTTCTGTTGCAGCACAACATAAGGAAAAGCAAGCGCAACCTTCAGGTATGGCCTGGGGTTTGCGATTGTGTTAGTGTCTTCCCATACGGGCCCAACACAGCATCCAGCGCTGGGTAAATAGTACTGAGCTGTACGTAAACCCCCACCACGTTCAGCGTGAGATACGTGAAATGCCCATCCGTCGCATAAGCACACAGGAAGTTCTAGGGTGAGGTGTGTCACTGTTCAGTGTTAACAGTGGGAGAAGTGTAAAACCTTGTTTTACTAAATATTGTTGATATTTGAGCCGAAGAGAAGGGCCTTGGTTTTAGGAGAGTGAGCCACAGGAACACCTTCAGCTCCGGCGACCTCAGGGGTCAGTCAGGTCTACGTCCTCGGGGCACACATGAGGATTAAGTTGGGCAAGCATGACTCCTCTGAGCCCGCTAGTGAGTTAGTGACTTGGACTGGATTCCACCTTGCCTTGCGCCCTGGTGGAGTCGCCTCCCCTGGAAGAGTAGAGGTGAGGCCAGGTGTGGTGGCACATACCTGTAATCCCAGCACTTGGGAGGCTGAGGCAGGAGGGTCATTGTGAGTTCTAGGCCAGCTTGGACTACATAGTGAGTGCTAGCCCAGTCTGGAATACAAAGACCCTGTCTCAGAAAGAAAAAAAAGAGTGGTAGAAGAGAAAACCAAAGGATGACCCAGACCTGAGAACAAGCTGCAGAGTTTAGGAGTTCATCATCTTCCCAGCCTGCCTCTAACCTGGTGTCCATATTGATTCTTTATTAGTGGGCCACTTCTGCTTTACTGGGGGTAAAAAGTATCATTTTCTTGTTTTTATACAGCACAACCAAACTTTCCACATTAGACAGTTGGAAGGTTTTTTTTTTCTTTATGAATGTATCTGTGATGAGGGGGAATCAGGTGAACTTTACAGAAATTTGCTGTCGCTTAGACTTTGCCTGAACATACGTGTGGTGAAGAGCCACACGCGCCAGTATTTGGCATTCAGGCTTTGACAGTGGGGACAGAAAGACCGATAGCTTTTGCCTAGTTTAAGGCAAAGGTCAAGATGCAGTAATTGAGGCGTACGGCGGGTACTTCCTATATAATTTTTGTTGCCTTGGGACCCTAACAGAGGAATATCAGTACAGAAAAATAAATGAAAGTATTTCAGAAGGGACTGGGGGTGTGGCTCAGTGGTAGAGCACATGCTTGGCTAAATCCCCAGTTCGGAAAAAAATATTTATATGAACACATGTAAAAACTTTGTTTTTGGATCAAGAAGTACTTTAGGACCTGCACTTAATTGGTAAGTTGAAATCATTTTTTGTCCTAGTTTGAGAAAGAAGTATTTTGATTTAACTGAAGCAGCTTCTGTGGAATTTGATAAATGAGAAATGAGGTTTCTCGGGGGATATAAACAAGTTCATATTTATTTATAATATGCTATGGCTTAGATGTTCTGAGCTTTAATTTGTTTTTATTCTAACCACCCAGTTTTCTTACTGTTCTAACCACTCGATTTTATTCTAACGACTAAATTATTCCATCTAGGATAGTTTCCAAGAAGACCCAGTACAGATGTCTATGATCATCTTTAACTGCCTGAAGGAGGAACGGAAGATTTTAGAAAACGCCAAGAGATTCAATCAGGTACCTTTTCTCCCAACTGAACACTAAAAGTTTAAGTAACAGTTCATCCACTCACTCATCCCACACATAGCACTGAGGCCAGGAGTGGAGCAGTGGTGAATATCTCTCGGAGTGTGAGGTCATGAGTTTGATTCCTGGTAATCCCCACCACCACCAACAACAAAAAAGATCGTGCGTAATAGCACGGGTTCCAGTCAGGAGTGAAACAATGTAGGAGCTCCCTGAAGGTGCAGTGAAGGCACTATTGTCTTTCGGTCAGGGTCAGGAACTTCTCTGAGCTGCTGATCCAGGAATGGAACCAGGCAGAAGGCAAGAGGGTTTCTGTAGCCTTCCAGGGAATCCGTTCTGCATCAGTAGAGGGGAGGAAGTAGTAAGTTTTGAGGGAGAAAAAGAGGTTGACAGGAAAACCAAGGGCTTTGGAATGGGCAAGTAAAACAAACAGAAACTTCTCCGAAGTCCAGGTGGCCAGAAAAGTACCCGAGAGGGCGCTCAACAACGCTGGCCATTCAAGAATGCAAATTAAAACAACACCAAGATTCCATCTGACCCTCGAAAGAGTGGCTACCATCAAGAAATCCAATAATAACGGGCCCTAGGGCTAGAGGAATCTCTCTACACTGTTGATAGGAATGTGAACAAATACAACCACTGTGGAAATCAGTAGGAGATTCTTCAAAAAACTAAAACTAGAAATTCCACATGACTCAGCTCTTCCTCTTCTAGGTATCTTCTCAGAAGAGTTAAAGACATCATATTACAGTGATCTATGCATACCCCTGTTTATAGCAGCACCATGCAGAATAGCTAAATCTTGGAAGCAGCCTATATGCCCATAAACAGATGAATGGATAAATAATATGTGGGATTTACACAGGAGCATTACTCTGCCCTAAAGAATTGACTTGAGTCATTTGTAGGAAAATGGATACATCTTGAGACCATAATGTTGAGTAAAATAAATCAGACACACAAGCTTTGATCTTGCATGGTTTCTCTCATATGAGAAGCCAAAAAGTGTAAACAAAGAGTGAAAGATAGATAATGGGACACAGGGGGATCAATCTTTTGCAAAAGGGAAGGAGAGAGAGGGAAGGGAAAGGGGATGAGAAAAGGACTGAAGGAGAAGTGTGTATGCATCACCAATCCCCACAGGGAGTGTGAGCATTACCTCCTGCATACATGCGCTAATAAAAAATAAAAACGAAGAAGAAGAGAACCAGGGGCTTTGTTTTGACCAAGATTGAGACACCTATTAAATGTTCAAGATTTCCAGACAGTAAATGAGCCAGAATTGTATTGATACCGGACAGTAGTACCAAGGCTTTTTGTCATGGTCTTCCTGTCTTCCTACAAGCCTTCCTAACAGTCAGCCGGCAGCAGTGCAAAGTCGCTGTGGTATTTGCAGTTCCATATTTGAGCAATAGTGTGGTGAGAACAGCTTACTAGCGGGTGATTGTGAAACCGTGTGGCGTTGTGACTGAGGGCATTGTGAACTGGGCAAGGATCCAGAGGACACAGTAGGAAGCACATTGGGTGCATTTCTCGGACTGGCAGCGAAGTGAGTGGGTGCCCCAGGGAACCTCAGACATTTGGGAGAGGGTTAGGAAGTCAAGGTCCTCCGGGGGCCTGTCCCACAGGATGTGGCTCCAGGCAGGCCAGCTCAGAAGTAGATGCCAGCAATGATCCGCACACGTAGGCAGAAGGCCTTGTGGGTTCGCCCTTTCTGCATGGCCAGAGAAGCCCCTTTGATCACTTGGTACTGTGTGATGCCTGGGACTGAGGATTTTCACCAAGCAGTGTCACATAGTTCTAATCCTGATATATGCAGGTCAGATGCTTTGAACTTCTCTTACTCCAGAGTGTATAAAATGAAGGAAAACTTTCTATGAATGGAATACCTAAACCTGATACAGATAGACCAAAAAAGAAAGTTATAAACGCAGTTTATTTAGGACTACCAACATAAAAGGCCCATTAGACTATCAGGGACCAGAATTAAATACTACACTAAAGAAATAAGACATTATGAAGAGGTAGGATTTATTATTACAGTTTACCAGGGTAGACCCTAACTGGGAAGTCCATTAATATCATCACTGCCTTAGTAGATACTAGGAGAAAAAGCTTTTGCTTCTCTTCACAGGTAGTGAAAAGGATCCTACACCCATTTCCTGATTAAAACAAGAAAAAACATCCCATGAGATGGAACTGATGGACACCTCTTTAGTGCTAAAGTGTACATAGCTCAGTTCTAGAGACAGCATTTTACTCAGCTGGGAAATTCTAGCAAGTGAGACACACATGGCAAGGACGTCCACTATTTCCATACTTAACATCATATTGGTGGTTATTGGTCAGTGCAGTTAGACAAGAGAAAACCACTAGAAGCATCAGAATTTAACATACAAAAGGATGAGCTCACCCTTACTTCATAACTATGATGTGATCCCAGCAGAAACAGCAGCAAGTTGTTTTCTGGATGTGAATAGATTGGTTCTAAAATTCACATGGAAAGTAAATCTGCAAGAATAGCACAGAAACTCCCAAAACCATGGAACAATGAAATGAGGCTGGCCCTGTTTGGTATATTGCATGTCTTGTATAATAAGCATGGTTCAGAAGTTCAGGTTTATAAATGGGCAGTGGAAGGAAGGCAGAAATTCTGGAAATAAACCCAGATGCGTATGAAAATCTGGGATAAAAGTTGCAACCCAGAGGGCCAACACTGAAGGTAGTTAAGACCGGTGGATAGGCAAGTGGGAAAAGTTAAAATTGGACTTGTATGTAAGGATAAGCTTCAAGTATTTCAGAGATCTAAAAGTAAAATGGAGGCCCTGGCATGGCATTGCACGGCAGGGTGACTGTAGATGATAATTATGTACTGTGTGTTTCCACAGCTGGATGAAAGTGTATTAAATGTTTTCACCATGAAGAAATGATGGACGAGCCAGGCGTGGTGGTGCACGCCTGTAATCCCAGCACTTGGGAGGCTGAGGCAGGAGGATCGTTGCAAGTTCGAGACCAGCCTGGGCTACAAAGTGAGCTCAAGGCCAGCCTGAACTGCACAGAGACCCTGTCTCAAAAAGACAAAAAAAAAAAAGAAATGATAGACAATAGACGACTGAAGTGGTAGACATGTTGGCATGAACAGTATATGGTATATACATACGTTAAACCACCACATGGTACTCCTTTACTGTGGACAGTTTTTATGTATCTATTTAAAAAAAGATAAACAATTTCTAAATGCAAAAATTAAGTAAAAAATGAAATCTTGCAAGTGCAGTGGAAGAAATAAATTCTTTCACAATCTTTCAATAGGAAAAGACTCTAGGGTAAAATCTAGGTATTAGTAAAATAAATATCTGGTAAGTTTGAGTGCATTAAAAACTCACACATAGAATCTGAACTTTGAAGAAAGAAAGAAGCCACCCTCTTACTTTGAAATGAGAAAGGTCTGCAAGCAGAGATTTTGCTGTGTTGGAGCGCTAAGCTAAGGAGAAGATAACATCCGTGTAGAGTCTAATCTCTATGAAAACAGGGACTGTTGTGTTTGTCACTAACGCCTGGCCCTGGGGTGTTGTCTCCCACGTCCTCAGTGTGTGCTAAATGACTAAATCAGGGTCCCGCAAATGTGATGAGACACTGTCATCTCAATCTTGGTTCTCCTTCCTGGGGTGATATACGTGACATCTACAGCTTCAAGGGGGAGAGGTTTATTTTGGCTCACGGTTCCATCCATGGTCAGTGGTGGAAGGGTGTACAGTAGAAAAGCTGCCCATGTGTTGGCAGCCAAGAAACAGAGAGAGAGGGAGGAGCTGGGGCAAGAGAGGAGCCCTTCCGGGTCACGCCCCCGGGGACCCACCTCTTCCTGCTGAGCCCTGCGTCCTAACAGCTCACCGCTGCCTTAGTAGATACTAGGAGAGGCAAGCGGGAGTTTTAAGCTAAAACTTCCCAGACAGGCTCTGGAAGCAGAGGGCTGCTGCAGCTGTGCTATCCTCATGATTCAATCACCTTTCCAAGACCCTTCCTGTGAATTCATGAGGCCTTAGGGGACAGTCTCAGTCCAGACCATAATAGTTACTGTGCAACAGTTTGAGAAACTCTGACGTAGTTCCTGTGTGGTACCATTCAGCTGTGTGAATTAATGGAAAGTTCTAGAAATACTGTTTATTTCAGGTATGAACTGAACTGAGACTGTAGCCTTCTTACCAGTTTGCCAGCATTTTTTCAGGGCTTTGGGAACTGAGCTATTTTTTACTGGCCATATATGTGGGAAGCCTGTAGTAGATTTCAGAAGGTCTCAGAGGCAGGGAGAACACAAGATACTGACTTGACTTTGGAGTGTCAGAGAAAATGGTGGCTGTTAACCATGCGCTTCTCATTACAGGCCCAGTCGGGGAGTATTCAGAACACTGTGATGTTAGACAAACAGAAAGAGCTTGACTGCAAAGTCAGAAACGTGAAGGACCAAGTCATGGTGAGCACTGAGTGAACACATGCCTTTATTCTGTAATTTCCATTGCGGAAACAAGGTTTCTGTATCGGTCACTTTCCCATCGCTGGGACACAGTACCTGATACCCACAACTTACAGGAAAAGAGGTTCATTGGGCTCACGGTTTCAGAGAATTGAGTCCATGGTTGGCTGGCTCCAAGGAAGAAACAGTGTGGCAGTGGGGAGGAAAGCAGCTCATACCGTGGCAGCCGGGAAGCAGAGAGAGAAGAGGGGAGCAGTGGATGAGAATGCGCCCTTCCAGGCCACACCCACAGTGACCCTCTCCAACCAGCCCATGTCTCAGCAACACATTTAGCTACCAAACTCACCAGTGGGTGACACCACCGAGGAGCACAGCACCTCCATGACCCTGTCACCTTCCAAAGACTTTTGGACCTTAGCAGTTTCAGTTACCTGAGTGTAAAGCTAGTAATTGGTATTTTAAGTAGTTGAAAAGAAAAATTATGCTAAAGTTCCAAACCAGAAGTAAACAGCTTGGTAAAACCAGTGATCACCTAGGCTGCTTATTTCCCTATGGTAACTTTCAAATGCTGCACTTACCTTTTTCTTCCTTCCAACATCACACAGTACATTGTTGACACTGTTTCCATTGTCTGATAAAGGAGATGTCAGACATCGCTTCTCTAGATGGCCCTTTAATTCTACAACCCTTAAATCAAGGTGTTCCTGGGGTCAAGCAGAACTCCCATATAAGCATGGCCTATCCGCCTCAAGTACCTGTTTTAATCTCAGACTTGCAGGAGAAGCAAAAAACATTCCATTGAAAGAAATTCTGGTACATTTCTACTCAGAGTGAGATGAACACACCATTAAAGTAGCACCATGTCAGCTTGGTCTGGAAATAGCCCAAGAAATCCAGAGAATAATGTGATGACATCCAAAACAAACAAATAGGATTTGTTGTCCAATTGTGTTTGAGTATGGCAGAGGACTCTGTTTAAAGTCTCACCAGAATCACCAGGATAGTGGATGTTAAAGCAGGGCTGCTCCAGGTAGGGGGTGGTGGTCACCACCTCACCTCTAAGGATCAAGGACATTTTCCGTGAGCTTGTTGTTCCCTGCGGTATGCATCACACTGAAGTTGTTCAATTCTGAGATAGTCTCGGAAATGATTAGGAAATGTCAGAATTTAGGCCCTAAAGCAAGTGGTGACAGTTTGAGGATTGTTAATATGTCCTCTTTTCTTAGAAAATGCGACTATACACTTACTAATGAAATAGATACTTCCTTATGTGGGTATTAGAGTTTTGTAAGTCCCATCAGTGAGTCTTTGCAGGAGCTGAAACTGTTACCAATTGTTTCCGGGTCCTATAGAAGCAGTAGTCTGTTTCCTGAAGTCTTTAGGTGCAGATGATCAGTGAAATACATGTTTCTGTCTTTATTTGTAGAGCATAGAGCAAGAGATCAAAACCCTAGAAGATTTACAAGATGAATATGACTTTAAATGCAAAACCTCACAGAACAGAGGTAAGAGTGAACAAAGCAATGCCCATTGGCTATATATTTTTTCCATCTGTGCCAAACAACAAAGCCAGGCCTTGCATATTTGCCAAGTATTTTATGACTGATTTACGGGTCTTGGGTTCCTGATGATCCAGGCAACACTTCCTTCAGCTGGCTTCTGTTGACATTGTGGGTCAGGTCGTTTCTGTCACGGGCTATCCTATACCTGGTAGAATGTTCTGTTTCCTTGACATCTGCTGCTGTGGCACCTGACTCTCATCTCCATTGGTGACAACACAAATGTCACCAGACATTGCCAGATGTCCTGGGGGGAGGACTGAGCCACCCCCGGTTGGTAACCACTGGTTGTGTAGTACTCGCTGTATTTCTTCATATGCCTTGGCTACCCACTCGCATAGACTGGTACATGTGTGGGGTTTCCCCGCCCTGACACCTGACCCCCTGCCAAGTCTGTGTGTATGTGCCCCATGTCACCTTAGCACTTTCTGTGTGTTTTCAAGCAGTTTCGCTCTGTTTTGTGGTTGCTACTTCGCTTTAGTGACAGTAACCACTACAGAGAACTGCAGGATGGATTCTGTAGAGCAAGTTCAAGTGGACACTGCTTCTAGCCTAGTAATCATTTGGTTGCTAGGTAGGGAGTATCAGTGTGATTTGGGAAAAAGGAAGAGAGAAAAGAACCTCAGTGACTGGTTCCTAATTGTGCACTTCTCTTTCAGAGCCGTAGATATGTTTCATGGGCATTTATCTGAAGTTTTGAATTTGGTCATTTGTATTCATTTAAGTAAAAGTCTGGCAGCAATTTAAATAGTAAACTCTGCTCTCCGCAATTTCCATGGGTCACTGAAAACTAGTACTTGATAGGAAAATTAGTACTTCAGTAGCTCCAGTTTTTATACTTAGGACATTTTCTTCTTGATGGCTTGATAAAGGTTAAAGAACAGTTGCATTTGTGTCATATCTCTCCTAAATTTATGTGAATCTTGCTTTTCATTGGATTCATTTTCTAACACATTTTTATTTTTATGTTCTCTGTTAATTCATAGAACATGAAGCCAATGGTGTGGCAAAGAGTGACCAGAAACAAGAGCAGCTGTTGCTCCATCAGATGTATTTGATGCTCGACAGTAAGAGAAAGGTAGTGGTCACTTTCCAGAAGACCGTGTTACTTTTGTTTTTTGTGTGTTTTTTTTTTTTTTTTTTTGGGTTTTCTCCGGTACCGGGAACCGAACTCACGACCTTGCGCTTGCCAGGCAGGCGCTTTGCTGCTGAGCTAAATCCCCAGCCCCTTCCGTGTTACTTTTGATGCAGACTATAGGTAATAGACGTGAAGTTTAGAACAGTGGAAAAATTACTTTTATAACCACTTGGCTTAATGTCCTCATTGAACGTAAAAGGATATTTGCTTTGCTTAAAAAAACAAAAAAACTTTAAAAGTTCAGTGATGAAAAACAAGTTTATTTCATCTTGCTTCTTCCTCTCCCTTTAGGAAATAATTCACAAAATCAGAGAGCTGTTGAATGCCACAGAGCTGACCCAGAACACCTTGATCAACGACGAGCTGGTGGAGTGGAAGCGACGGCAGCAGAGCGCCTGCATCGGGGGGCCGCCCAATGCCTGCCTGGACCAGCTGCAGGGCTGGTAAGATGCAGCCCTAGAACCACACCAGGCAGGATGGGCACAGCTGCTGGCCCTGCCAGAGCTTCCGGTCAGAGCTTGGCACGGTGCGGCTTCTCCCGGGCCTGGAGACACCAGGAGAGCTCAGTGTTGGTCATGCCTGTGGCCACATCCAGCCACGTCCACTTGGTTTGGAGTCTTAGAGCTGGCAGCGTGTCACTGGGCTGTACCCAGCCCCGGGGGTGTGATCACTGTGTAGCACACTTTGATGGTTTATTAAGGACAACAGATCGTGAGGCCTTGTCTAGTCTCCCATAAAGCACTGGGTGTCACAGCGATCATCCAGTCACCACCCAGAGCACTTGAGAGACACTGGCTCTTGGCACCTTGCCTGTCGGGATTCTCAGTGTGGTGGATAGACAAGGGAATAACGCTGCACAGCGGACAGACCCAGGTGTCCCAGCAGCAGTGTACTGGCTTCCATGGGGAACAGGGGTCACCAGAAAGCTTTCAAACAAGAGGTGACCTGCCCCACCCGAGGGTGACCCATCATGGCCTATAGCTAGGAATATAACTGGCCTATAACTGTCCGGCAGAGCGGAGCCCCTGACTGCATGATAGGCAGCTGGAGAGGCAGGCAGGCATGGGCAGGAATACACACCGTGTGTCACCCAGCAGGGACAGGAGCACAGAGGCGAGTGTAGACCTGGTGAAGGGCGCGTTACCCTGGTGTTTGGTTGGAAAGCTGGTCTGGCACAGCCTGGGGCTGGCGCAGAGGTGAGGTCCCTGTGATGCTGCAGCGTTGGTGGTATAGTGGTGAGCATAGCTGCCTTCCCTGTGATACTGCAGCTGTTAGTGGAGCCAGGAGGGACCACAAGGGCAGGGAGAGCGTGGCTCCAAGGGGTGGTGGCCTGGGACAGTCGCTGAGTACCCAAGGACCAGGGCCCTAGAGGGGGTGTATTCATGGGGTTGCATCATTAATTTTTCAAAATCACAATTCAGGCACTTGTTTTCATTCCACAAGTTGCCTGTATGCACCCGTTTCTCTTGGGTTAGAGCAGAGTTTCCAGGCCCAGCTTGCTCTGGGACCTTGAGAGATTCTGACCCCTAAGGCACCCGTTATGGTTTGTGTCTGGATGTCCCCCCAAAGCCTCATGCGGTCATGGGATGGGCTTCTAGAGTTTATGATTGATCCATGGTCCAGTGATGGGATTATGGGTGTGAGTGCTGTACTCGCCCTGGGGCAGGTAGTCTGCATACAGTAGAAGGCAGGGGAAAGAGGCTGCTCTCTGCTGTTCCTCTCGTTTGCTCTTGTTGCTTTTGCTGTTTTCTGCTACCATGAACATTTGCCCTCTGCCATGTGCCACCCTGCCTTGGAGCCAGCTGAGTATGGACTGAAACCTCCACAAACTGTGAGCTGAATAAACCTTTCCTTCCTTCATTTTGGGCATCAGGTATTTTGTGTCAGCAACGAGAGAAAAGTAGCCAAGACAGCGCCCTTATCCCCCATTCCCCCATCAGCCCTCCAGATGGCTGGGAGCCCTGGGGCCTGAGTCACCACAGGCCACAGGCGCCTCTCCAGGGACAGCGCCCTCTCCTGTGCTATGTGAGCACCGTTTTCCGGGTTTCAGGGCTCTGGGCAGGATGTCCTGGCTCCCCGTGCTGCCACCCTACTGCTTGCTCTGGCATGAAAGCCTCTCTTAGTGCCAGGGGCTGGGACCAGGGAATCTCCCAAATGAAGCAGAGGGAGGAGACACGTTTACAGACGTCTGTGTCATCCTCCAGCCCATTGGGGTGGCCCTCCCACGGGTCTCCTGGCTCTGCAGCTCTGTCGCTGTTAATACCAGCTCTCGGGAAGGAAGAACGAAGTGACCACCAGGCTTCGCTGGGCCCATGGTTCTCTAGGCTGAGTGGAGCTGCAGTCTCTATTCTTTCCTCTCCTCTCCCTGCAGCGTCCCATGGCTGGCACCCAGGTCCCTGCCTTAGCATACAGCATCAGTGGCTCCCCATTGCCTCTCCCTTCACCTGAGGTGTCTGCTGCTTTTTCGCCTGTTTCTCTCTGCTCCTTGCTCTGCCCGTTTGAAATCCCAGGTATCTTAAAGGTCTGCTGAGCCTAGCACAGTGGCACACCCCTGTAATTCCAGCTACTTGAAAGGCTGAGGCAGGAGGATCACTGTCACAGTTCTTGACAGTAGCAGGGTGCAAAAGGATGAAAGATTACTAGAGTCAGTGTCCAGTCCACACTCCAAGGGGGCTCAAGGGCTGCCGTGAACCGAGACCCCTCAGTGTGAGAAAGTCTTAAATAACAGCCTTGACCTGAAGCCTCCATGGCCTTTTACTGACAGAACCAGGAAGCAAGGATCAAAGGAGAAAGAAGGGCATCCAGACAGGGACTCTGTGGGACAGGGAGCAGTGAGGATGGCCTGGTATGTGGTGGACTCTGGGACTCATTTAAATGATAAAAGGCTATGAGGAGGATGAGGGCTGAGCGTTCACTCTTCAGGCAGCAGGTTTTGATCCCAAGGACTTGCCGTCATTAATCTCAAACCATGCGCTCCGGAAGTTTTAGGCTTGTGGCTCTGTCTGTCGATCTCATACAGACCTGTGGCCAAAGTCCCCAGGGATCACAAGTTCAAGGCCAGTGGGGCAGCTAAGGGAGACCCTGTCTCAAAATAAATAAAAAGGGCTGGGAGTACGGCTTGATGTTGGGGTAACCCTGAGCTCAATCTTACGAAGGTCGGTGGCAGTCGCAGATGACCTGGGAGCCCCCGTAGAGCTCAGGAGTCTGCAGAGGCTTTTGATGCAGGCTGTAATCTTTTAGTGCATGTTGATCCTTTTTCTCCAAATAGCCGTGCTCCTTCAACCACAAGCCTCCCTCCCCGCTGGTCCCTGTAGCGTGGGTGCCACCCCTGTAGGGCATGCGTGAGTCGCCTGCCTGGTGGAAGGACGGCCTGGGTCCCTCCTGGGAGTGCATTAGTTCCCGTGACTCAGCCCGGCTGCTCTGGGACGGCTGCTCACGGAGACACCTGTGTCTCGCACCCCCCAGGTTCACTGTCATCGCGGAGAGTCTGCAGCAGGTGCGGCAGCAGCTCAAGAAGCTGGAGGAGCTGGAGCAGAAGTTCACCTACGAGCAGGACCCCATCACCAAGAGCAAGCAGGGGCTGTGGGACCGCACCGTGGCCCTGTTCCAGCAGCTCATCCAGAGGTGATGCCACGTTCCATGTGCATGTTTATTTATGGGCTTTGCGAGTTTTTAACGGTGCTTGATCCTTTCTGCCTTCCTTCTTATCTCAGTGGCCCCTTTTCCATTCTGCCTCCCGGTCTGGAGCTGTAATAACTTTTTCCTCCCTCTCTTCCCCCGACCCAGTCCGTGCTGAGACCTGTGGCAGGATGTTTGTCCTCTTTGTTCTGTGCTGTGGCGTGTCAAGCCCTCTTTTCTGAGCTTCTGGCAAGTAGCCCCACAGCCTGGCTCCCGCCTCTCCCTGCCAGCCTGGGGTGCCCTCCGCTGGACGAGGCACGCACTTGTTCACACTTGTTCTCTGCCTTCCAGACCTCACGGTTCATTGTTTGTCCCCCTCCCATTCTGCCTTTTGTTACCTCAGTGGTTACTGGGTCCTGTTACCTCTGTCATCCTTGACCCAAGACCCAAGCAGGGCCCAGCACTCTGCCTTATAAACGGCAGGCCGCCCCAAGCATAACGAGTAGGCAGAAGTCACTGCTCACTGAAGAGCAGAGTTTGGGTCCCAGGGGTCTTTCGTTTTGTATCTTGACACTAACAAGCCATGCAGAGAAGATCTTGTTTTCCTGTGCTGACTTCCAAACAAGAATGCCTATGTGCTGGATTTTGAGATAATTAAAGACCCTTGGTTGTATTTTTCGTGCAAATCTGACGGTTTGTGCAGATGTACAGAAGAACATAATTGAATCCAGGGTTTCACGGTAGGGTGATGTCACAGGTTGTTAGTGACTGGGTGTGCGCTGGGTGTAAAGTAGATGTGGAGATTTCTTCACTCACTGGTAAACGCCACTTTGTTTGTCCAGTTTGTCCGATTTTGAAACTTTTTCAGTCAGTGCTCTCTAATTCCATTTCTTCTTTAGGGAAAGTCATTTATTTTCTCACTGCCTCAACCCTGATGGAAATGCTAATTTGTCTGCATTCGCTGGGTCTTTGCAGCTCCTTTGTGGTGGAAAGACAGCCGTGCATGCCCACGCATCCACAGAGGCCTCTGGTCCTGAAGACCGGGGTACAGTTCACCGTAAAGCTGAGGTAATTTTTAAAAAAATGCAGCTGTGTACACTGCCCGTCACATAGCTTGCCCTTTTCATTTCCTCATACAAAACTATTATACAGGGGATTTAAGAGGAAATCCATTTTCAGTAGGGATTGTATTATGAATTCCTAGAATCTCCGAGATTCTTTTATAGAAGCACAACCGATATAAATGCAAATACACACATCTGTTTTCCCTCCAATGGCAGATGTATCACATGTGCATAGTATAAAGGAGCTCAGAATTGCGTACAGGGGTGTGACAGAGCGTAGAAGTTCCAATGGCCTCCCTGCTCCCAAAAGCAGGCTCATAACGAGAGCTTCGTGACCCCCTGTAAAGGAAGTAGGCTGTCTGGACATAGGTTATATCTGTGCGTGTTCCTAGTGACTGACTTCATGGCTTTCGTGAGATTTCCACAGTGTCTGTGATCCAAACATCCACGGGCCAGCACCACGGTGGCCTGGTGCTGGTCCTCCTACAGTGCTGTTCATGTCCACACAGATGTGCAGGGCACGTGCGTGTGGATGTATTCCTTACATGGACACACACACGAAATACATGACAGTTATTACTTCACTTTTGAAGATGAGGACTCTACATGAATCTTGTTCCGTAGTCGGCTTTTACCTTGGTGGTAGTTGTGTAGGTGTTTCCGGGTGAGAACATCCGGGCTCACTGTGTTCTGGTGAATGGCTGCAGTCCCTCATCTGCTTCTCTGGAGATGAGCACTGCACCTCAAGGCGAGGACTTGCCTCCAGGGTTGGCCGCATCCTTTCTCACTGGATGCAGTTGGTTCACGTCCACCTGCTCCTTCCCTGTTGGGCCTGAGCAGCACCACACGCTAGTGTCTGTGGAAGCTGAAACTTAGCGCTGCAGGAAGACTAAAGAGGGAATCCCATGCTGACCCAAGACCTGGGGCTCCTCCCACCTTCCAGCTAGCAGAGCAGCGGTGCCTGGGGTCCTAGGAGCCCAGCATCCCAGTTTCCACGCTTCCACACTGCCCCGCTGTTCAGGAGGGCAAGCCTCATCTTTCCAATTATGGGTAACAGCCTTGCTTTTCTCCCACTAGGACAGAAAAGTAGTTGTAAGTTCTACAACAAGTAATGTTTGTCGCTTTCCACCCATCTAAGGCCAGAAGTAGAACTTCTGACAGTGCTTTCTGTTGGCGAGGTTGTATAGGACACACCACACTCGCTGACCCTGGTAGGAACAAGTCGATGCTCAGTTCCACCAGAACTTCATGCTGCAGTTCTGCCCCAGCAGTCTCACAGCTAGGAACCCACAGGAGCATGGATTAAGAACAAAGCCAAGCAGACGGACAGCATGTCAGCGTCCTTGCTTGTAAGAACCAGGAACTAGGGGGGTGATGGTTTCCGTATATGTTCATAGAGGGATACTTGGCATATTAAATATGTTGTAGTAGATCATTTTTTTAAAGTAATAACTTTTATTTTTCTCTCCAGACTGTTGGTGAAGTTGCAAGAGCTGAATTACAATTTGAAAGTAAAAGTCTTGTTTGACAAGTAAGATCATTTTTATGTTACCTCTGGTAACATACCATTGAAATGCTCGTTTTTGGGTTGGGGCTATAGCTCAGTGGCATAAACACCTACTTGGCAAGCACAAGGTCGTGAGTTCGATCGCCGGTACCGCAAAAAAAAAAGAAATGCTGGTTTTGTTAATCAGATGTGAACTCCTGCGTTTGTGGTTGCTCAGCAGTGCCGTACCCTGGGAGGGAGGAAATTAGCCTTCCTGGGGACTAGGGGTGAGCCCAGGTCCTGGCCTGGCTGCCAGAGTCCACCGGGCCATCCCCAAGTGACCCAGCAGAAAGAAATGGCTCCCTCTCTGCACGTTGGCAGCTTCCCCTAGAGCTGTGGCTTTTTAGATGAAAATGAAGGAAAGGATGAGCGTCCAAGGGTGCAGCTGGACTTTGCACACCTGGGCCAGCTCCCGAGGAGAGGCCTGGCGCGAGCCCAGCGGTCGGTGAGGCTGTGCGGCGCAGCGGCCAGCTGCAGGGTGGGACTGTCACAGGTCCCTCCTGGGAGAGCGGCCCGTTCGCCGCACTCTGCTGTGGCCCAGCCCCTCTCTCTGTTCGTTGGTGCTCCTTTGTCTTTCCAGCCTCTTCCAGCTCTGGCCTTTCTCCTGTCTCTCTGTTCCTTTCACTGTAAACGCTGATGTTCACCAGAAGAATCGATCCACCTTACAGCTGTTCACAGCACGCTTCCCTGCTAGTTGCAGTAGGAAAGGAGGGTTGTTTCCTCCTGTGAGGGAGTAGTGACCTCTAACCCGTATCTAGGCCCTGGCGTGGCTGTGGTGTTGCTGTAACAAAGTACTGGAAACTGGGCACTTTATAATCAGCTCATTGTCGCGGTGCTGGGAAGTTCAGAGTGGGGAGGCAGCGTCTGTGCAGCGTCACGTCCTGTAGGGGGCGTCCTGTGGCCCGACAGGGTAGGAGTGGCAGCCAGAGCCAGCTGGGAGGGCCCGACTAGCTTCACAGTAATCTGCCTTGGAGCAGCCGGTGCAGCTTCACCAGACCTAAGCCATGCTTGTTGGGCAGCGTTCGTCCCTGTCACTGGTCAGCATGGCCACCCCGGGAACCAGGGAACCGGGCCTCTAGCACGTGGCCTCTAGGGGACAAACCGCAGCCAGGCCGCAGCCTGGCAGAGTGGTCCTTGGACCTGCACAAGGGCAAGACCTTTGTGATCTCAGCTTCCACTTCATCTTGTCCCTTCCCCTGAGTAACCGGGCTCCTGCGGCACTGTCACGAGAGCGCTGAGATAGCGGAGAGGAAAGTGCGGCCGGCGGGCCCCATGGAAGGTCCTGCGGGTTCTCTGGGGAACCTCGCACAAAACCGGGACTTCCCACAGCGTACACCTCACGGGGTCCTGGAGGGAAGGTTGGTGCAGGGTGAGAAACGTAACGTGTGACCCAGTCGATTTGTTTAACGAGACAAGTCGTGGTTAGTGTGGGAGGTTGAGGAAGAAGGGAATGAGGAACAGGCCAGCAAACCAGCGTCGTAGAATTTCTTTTTTTATCTTTCACTTACATATGTATATTCTATGTTTCTGTTGAAGCTAACTGCGAAGTTTAAATGCACTCTTTTGCTTTTGCAGGGACGTGAATGAGAGAAATACAGTAAAAGGGTAGGTGATGCACTTCGCACCCTGCTTTGCTACCTCTGTCGGTCTGTGAGCGTGAAGCCACTTCAGCACCTGTGTCTGATTGTGCAGGTTCCGGAAGTTCAACATCCTGGGCACACACACCAAAGTCATGAACATGGAGGAGTCCACCAACGGCAGCCTGGCGGCCGAGTTCCGACACTTGGTACGAGGCTGGTTGCCCTCTAGTGCAGCCGCGGGTCTGTCAGGACTTGTGGTGCTGGGTGGCTCTTGGCAGGGTGGAAGATGCCCCTTAGGCCTTCTAGACCGGCTGGTGGCCTCTCGTTGCTGCACTGGGGCACGCTAGCTCCCCTGCCTCATCCCAGGGCTGTCCACTCTGTCTTTTGCTCAGCTCACGCCCCTGTGTGAAATAGTGGCTGCAGGGATCCCAGTAAAACTGCTTCAGTAGCCTGCGTGGGCGTAAACTGTCTGCACCAGCCATGCCACGAGGCAGCTGTCACTGTGGTGCCCTGGAGTTTGCCCAAGGCTGCTCCCTCACTCCCTCCCGTCCTGCTCCTTCTCCTGCTGCTGGCCTCCAGCGGCCTGACTGTCCGGGAGACCCACCCACTGGATTTGCAGGCTGCGCTAAGTGGCACTTCCCCCTTCCTGCCTCCGTGGAGAGGGGCCCGGTGTCGGTGCCGAGCCTGAAGTGAGGTCGCGTGTACCGTGCTCCCTGGTGACTGTCTTGCAAGCCAGCGCACCTGGAGGCCTCAGCATGACCCTAGCTGGCCCCACGATGCCGGCTGGGAAGCTGGGGATGAGGTCCCCGCAGGGTGGGCCCCAGACCCTGACTGTCTGCCCCACCTGGCTGCAGTGCGAGGCACTCGGTTTGGAGAGCCACAGCCGGCCCTTCTGCCTCGTCCCACACTCGGGATCGTGTCAGGTCTTCTTTCTCCCTGGTCCTGAGAGTGGGCCGGGTTGTAGGAGTGAGTCTGAGTTGGCTGCTAGGATGTGGTTTACTAAGACAGTTTCCTGTTTTTTAGCAACTGAAAGAACAGAAGAACGCTGGCAACAGAACCAACGAGGTGAGGGCCCTGGGTCTCGTGGGCCGGCAGGTCCCGCGCGGGGGGCCGGCGAGTGTCTGTGGTAGTGGCAGAAACCCTCTGCTGCCTGCTTTCTGGCTGTTGGGCAGCCCAGAGGAGGGGCTGGTGGGCTTCTGCGTCTCGCACACCTTGTAGGTGGGGGGTTAGTCACAGGAAGTTTGCAGGATCTCGAGGCGCGGTCACTCTCCAGCAGAACAGAGCCCATCTGTGACCGCGTGCTGAGGACAGGGTGGCCCGGGCTCCTGCCGCTGGTCTTTTCAGTTACCTTGCCACATCCTGAGCCTATGGAGTTGCACTGTGAAGCATTTAACAGTGAACTGAGGGCAAAGGACAGAGGTATAGAATATGGGTTTGGAAGAGTTTTTTCCTCCGTCCCAGAGCATGCGTTCCTTTCCACCACAACCAGCAGAGGGCGCTGGAACAACGAGACAGACCTGCTGGTCTCGCAGGCCCGTCTTGCGCTGTAACTGCTGTGTGACCGCAGGTCTAGCAGCAGCACCTGTTGCGTTCTAAGTTGCCGTGATGCTTATGGGAAGCAGTTTGCATAAAGGCGGTTTGAAAACCATCCCTTTCTACCCAAAGCAAAGCGCTTCATGACCTGCCAGGCGTTCAGAGTCAGCGCTCCCTGTAGATAATCAGACCTGAAACGTATCTGCACCCGGAAACCTTAGGTTGTGTGCAAATCTGTTGGACGTTCCTGCTTCCCTAGCTGCGTTTCTTTGTCTGAACTGATAACCTTTGCTATAACTACAGACCTTTGGGCTGGGGATTTAGCTCAGCGGCAAAGCGCCTGCCTGGCAAGCGCAAGGTCGTGAGTTCGGTTCCCTGTACCAGAGAAAAACCCCCCCCAAAAAAAACAAAAACTACAGACCTTTTATCCCAGAGAAAACAGTGAGATGCTTGAAATAATTACATCTAGGATTGACTGTTAAGTAGCAGAATTTTCCAAGCTGTAGCTCTGTGGTCCAGGATCTCTGTGACTTGTTCATTTAGCTTTTGAAAGTCGCAGGATCTGTTCATGAATCGTTATGTTGTTTTCTTCTTCTCTTTTCTAAGGGTCCTCTCGTTGTTACTGAAGAGCTTCACTCTCTGAGCTTTGAAACCCAGCTGTGCCAGCCTGGCTTGGTCATTGACCTCGAGGTGAGGCTTCTGGGGTCCCTGGAGGAAGACTGTTTATGCTTACATCCCACTGTTACGTGTATTTCTATTTCTCAACTTTTGTTTTAGAGCTCCTTTTCTCAAGTATAACTGTATGCAGAATTTCGGTCAATCCCCCGCTTACCTCCGAGAGTACGCAGTTGTCTGGGTAGGATGATCTCAAGGCCTTTGTCACCTTGCAGACGACCTCGCTGCCTGTCGTGGTGATCTCCAATGTCAGCCAGCTCCCCAGCGGCTGGGCCTCCATCCTGTGGTACAACATGCTGGTGACGGAACCCAGGGTATGGACGCTCAAGTACTTTCCTGTGGGGGCGGGGGTTCTAGCTGCGTCTCCAGAGCACCAGCAGCAGTCGGATGTTGAGAGAGAAGTGACTGGCTCCTGTGAGGTTGCTGCCAATCTTGAGTGACCATGGGAAAGTGACGCTCATATGTGTGCCAGGGGTGAGGAGAATGATCTTACCTCTGCTGTCACTATCCTTAAATGTGCGTATCTAAAAAGCAAGCCGCATTCTTAGAGCGTGGCTGCTCGCCGCTGCTGAATTCCAGCTGGTTCTCATTATGCAGAGAGCTCTTGTTCTCAGAGTCACCAGGGGCCCTGAAGGATTGCTTCCAGGAGAAATGCAAGGTTAGGTTCCTGGGCGACTGGTCCCTCCATCTTTGCCCACCTATCACCCGTAGCTTGTGTGTGTGTTTCTAATACATGTGCTGTTGTTCACTTTGACCTGACGGCCCATAGCACCCTAGCTCAGGAGCTGAATGAAGCGTAGCTGAGATGCACCTTTTCCCACAAAGCGTAGCATGGCTCTCTTGTGCCTGGGCTCTCACACAGTGCTTCAGCACTGTGCTGGGTACCATGTTAAACAATGAAACCACCAAGAAAATGCATCGCTCTACAGACGTGCACAAAGCGCGCTAGTTTGCAGTCCGAGTACCAGAACAAGGAGCTCTAGCATTGAGTCGTCCCATTTCAGTGAGAAGCGAAACTGTCGCGTGGCTCCGTTTGTGTGTCACCCCCTGTATAAGATCACGGCTTCAGTGGCCACAGAGGTACCATGGCTGTTGACTTTGTAGTCACACGTAAGTGTGAACAAATCCACATGTGCAAATCTGTGAATAGTGCAAATTCTCTTTCTCGATTGTGTGAGTGTCACATGAAGTGGACGTGCGCTTGGGGGTGGGTCCGGGACTTCCTGGTGACCCCTGGCTCTCGCGTGTTTTCTCCCTAGAACCTGTCCTTCTTCCTGAACCCGCCGTGCGCACGATGGGCTCAGCTTTCGGAGGTGCTGAGTTGGCAGTTTTCATCCGTCACCAAGAGGGGCCTCAACGGAGACCAGCTGACCATGCTGGGAGAGAAACTCCTGGGTATGAGAGGAGCTTCTGCGCCTATAAAAATCAGAACCCAGAAGACTCTCTGCTTGCCCTCTCAGCTCTGTTTGTTCTCTGTTTTGGGTGGGGCCCAGGAGTATTAAAAGCCAGCTACCACTTCTCCTGGCTAAATGAGAAGCAGACCCTATGTTGGAAAGAAAGAGACCTGAGGAGAGGCCTCCCTGACCTCTTCTTTGTCATTTCCGGCTAGCATTTCTGAAGAGGGACCCTGAGGGAAAGTTTCTTGGATTTTATAAAATCCATTTTCTGTGGAGGAAATGAGTTCTTCATGAGAAAGATGAGGTCTTATTGTCCTTGGGGAGAAAACAGAAAAAGTCCCCGACATGAGGATGAGGTCTTTGTCTCACAGACCCAGGCTTTCCTCAGGCGGACCCCGTGGGGGGCACTGTCCACGCAGGGAACGCCCGCTGACCCGCCGCCTGGCCCGTTACACAGTCGAGGCACAGCAGGTCATTGCCTGCCGGGGCCGAAGGCCAGTGGTCACCGCGTCTTACGTGCTAAACGTACCTGAGACTCGTCCATGTTGAAGTCAGTTGGAATGAATGGGCAAATCTGAATCATTCCTTAAAAATGCACAGGCCGCTGTCGCCCAGGTTTATTACAACGTCTAAGATCCCCTGCCTCCCTGTCCTCACCTGCGGAGTCAGGAGGGGATCTGCTCGGCCTGTCATGGCTCCTCGGGGTTCTCTGGGGAGGGCTGTGTGCTTGTGCCTGGCTGTGGGGGGCTCGCTCGCTTGCTGAGGATGTTGGCTGAGGGTGGCCGCAGCCTCCGCAAGCTTGTGTGCCGTTTGGAGGACTGCGGGACACATGGAGCGATCCTCTGAAATGCGCTGGCGAACTCAAGTGTCCGTTCACTTGATCACCCAGGCGTGATCTTGGTCTTAGTCTGAACTTTAAAAAAAAAAGTCTGTGGTGTCTTTGGAAGAGTGGACCCCACAGGAGTAAGGAGCGGGAGAGCGGGCTGGCGCTTTGGGGCCCCGAGCGGCACCCTTGGGGGTGCCGGGGAGGCGCAGGTTCACCCCCAGCCAGTGTCAGCAGGCAGGCGAGGGTGCGAGAGGAGGACTTAAGAGATTGCTTATCTCTGCCGAGGACGATGGTGAGGCTCTGCAGTGTCCCTGCTCTCGCTGAAATCCCTCATGGTCGTGGTGCCCTGGAGTCTGCCGTCCATTCCTTGTGCCATGAAAGTAAAACCAGTGTGCACGCTCTGTAGACTATTTTAATCAGGGCCTTTTGTCGCGTATTTGATCATTGCTAAATCAGCCGCATACACAGGGTCTTCCTTTCTCGGATAGGAGTCTCCTTCTCTTGAGAGCAAACACAGGAGCTGTCAGTCCACAAAAGCATCAGAGTGCCTGCTGCTTGCTAACAGAGCATACTTGTGTTTGCCTAGGTCCAAATGCTGCCCAAGATGGTCTCATCCCCTGGACTAGATTTTGTAAGGTGGGTCCTGCCCAGGGATGGGAACCTCTGAGCTCTTTTGCTGTCCAGCGTTGGGGCTCCTGCAGGTCTCCTCTGGCCGTGGCAGAGAGCTGCTTGCTTGTTTTGGCCTGGCCTTCTCTCGCCCTCAGAGCCTGAGGGCCAGCTGTTTTCTTTCCTTCACACCGAAGTTGGGTCTGCAGGCCAGAGGCCAGCAGGAAGCACCTGCCGGCTGATAACATTCTTTCCCTTGCCATCCCCGGCCCCCCTTGTCCAGCGGCGCTTGGCCTTGTCCGTGTGAACCTCGCGCTCTGCCTGACCAGAGGGGCGAGGGTGGGGGCTCTGCAGTGCTTCTCAGCGCTGGGTCACCCTGAGGCGTGCCCTGGCTGCCGCTGCTGTTTGGAGAGGGAAGCAAGGCCTGGCTCAGGGGATCGGTGGAGGACCTGGGCCGGTCTGCTGCTGTGCGCTGGAGACTTCTGTCTGTGACTGTGGGGCGCTTTGCAAGTGAAACTGCAGTAAGGGGGGCGGGTAGGAGAAGTCGCTATCCCTAATGTGCGCATTTGTGTATTTTCAGGAAAATATTAATGATAAAAATTTTTCCTTCTGGCTTTGGATCGAAAGCATCTTAGAACTCATTAAGAAACACCTGCTGTCTCTCTGGAATGATGGGTAAGAGCAAGAGCCACTGACGATTGCATTTCTGGAGCATTTTTGGTGCCATCCCTTGCTGCAGAGCCCAGACAGAGCCTGCATGGGTGTCATCGTTTGGCAGAATTTACGTCCCTTTCCTGAGGTGCCCATGTACAGGGGTCAGGCTTCCATCCCAGCACGTCAGATTAAACTCATACTTCCTTATATATGTGTGCATTATTTATAAAGATGAACTTGAAAAGCAAGTTCTGGGTGCCACTCATGGATTGATTCAACAGAAATTTCTTGAGCACCTACTATAGTGCCCCTAAGAAATGGAGCAAAAGCCCTTTCAGCCTGGTAAATTGTGCCTAGCTCATTTTCCTGATCAGCTCATATTTAAGCAGAGGCTTTAAATTGACCAGAAATGCTGCAGTATGAAAATAGATGGTCTGAGTTTTGGGATTCAGTGTAAGAAATGCACAGACATGGCCTGTAAGGTCATCGGGTGACAGCACAGGGCCTGAGAATGCTGCCTGCTTTTCCTGAGCACCTGTCCCGTCCCGTGGACCCCATGCTCGTGTAGCGTGTGTGTGTATGTGTGTGTGTGTGTGTGTGTGTGTGTGTGTGTGTATGTGTTTTCTTAACTTTAGCATATTCATGCATTAGTAAAAGGCTTCCTTAAGTGCCGATGAAATGTGTTTTAAGATAGTCTGTAGGTCCTTATCTTGTGTCTGTGCTGAGCCCCCTGGACTGTGAGAGAACACGGGCCCCCAAATCCCGCTTCCTGTCCCCGCGCAGGTGCATCATGGGCTTCATCAGCAAGGAGCGGGAGCGGGCCCTGCTCAAGGACCAGCAGCCGGGCACCTTCCTGCTGCGCTTCAGCGAGAGCTCCCGCGAAGGCGCCATCACCTTCACCTGGATGGAGCGGTCCCAGAACGGGGGCGGTGAGTGGCGGCCCCCACACGTGCGGCCCTCCCACTCGGGGCAGATTGGCCCTCACTGAGAGCACCGGGAGCTTTGGTCACGAGATCGCAGGTCCCATCCTTGCCCCAGCTGAGCCCCCAGGAAGGGCTCTGGAAAGCATAGGGATATTGGCGAGTCGCTGCCTGGAGCGCGTTGTGGAAACAGTGGCTTTAAAAGACAAAGCCCCCGTCTTTCCTTTCTGTCCGCCCTGTTATCTGCGGATCAAGGATGTGAGTCAGTGTCCTTGTAGATCTTGGACAGGGTCCTGCTTCGCACAGTGCCAGGGCCCAGCCTCCCCTAGGTGATTCCAGCGAGAGGGCACCGCCGAGGGCTCCTCTGCCAGCACTGTCAGTCGGGGCTGTGGGGACGGCTGCAGCCCCGGCTGTGCTTCAGAGCAGCCGCAAGTTTCTGGTGTTGTATTTCTGTGTAAGCAAACGAGTCCGTGGCTGACAGACCTCACAGACCTCGCCGTGGTACAGCGCAGATGAGGAAGTGGTTGTGGCGAGCTGAGTGCTTTGCAGTTTGTAGTTTGCTTAGAGCTGGAGGAGAAATTGTAGTTTGCTTAGAGCTGAAGGAGAAATTGATGGGTCCCAAGACTTATCTTTTCAGGAGGGAGATGCAAAAGGGTGGGGTGCGTTCTTGTTGTTTGTTTCTTCTTCTGATGAAAAAGCAGGACGGCGGGGTCAGAGCCTGGGACAGGCAGTCGCTGTGGAGCCTGCCCAGTTCCCCCTTTCCCTGGAAGGCCATTTCCTGAGCCCGCTGAGAGATGGAGTTAGCAGCCAAAGAGAGGCAAGCCTTGGCAGCCAGGAGAGTTAAGCGGCGGGGCAGCAGCTCCAAAGACGGGGCACATGTGTGGCCAGCAGTTGTCGTGCGCTCCGGAGCCGGAGATGCTGGGTCCCTTCAGGGGCAGCTCTGGATTAGGTCTGCAATGAGAACAGGAGGGAATTAAGCTTTGGCATTTGACATCAAGGGTTAGAGGGAAAAGTAGGATGTGAATTTCCTTGTTTCAAAAGTTGTTTTCTGTATTTAACCATCATTTTAATAAAAAAAAAAAAGATGTTCAACATGAAAAGAAAAACAGAAAATGAGTTTGTCTTTTAGTCACTCTGGTTTGAGTGGTGATGAGTGATTTATCTGCTTGGGGCAGCATTCTGGTGAAGATGCAGGCATTTCAGGGATCCAACACACCACTTTTGGCCAGATTTGTAAATCTTGAGTAAAAAATGGCAAGTGCAGTGTTGGCGAGAGTAGAGGCTGCCTTTGCTTCACCTCCTTTTATGGCAGGATTGGAATTAGAAATAAAGCAGTCTGCCCTACATCAGTCCTCCACACGGGCTCCTGGAATCCCTAACTTCTGTGGGGTGTCGGCCCCTGCCTGTGTCTGAGGCCGTTCTGTGGGACTCACCCAGCTTTTCCTGTGTGCAGAACCTGAGTTCCACGCCGTTGAACCCTACACCAAGAAAGAGCTTTCTGCCGTTACTTTCCCCGACATCATCCGCAATTACAAAGTCATGGCTGCGGAGAACATTCCAGAGAACCCCCTCAAGTATCTCTACCCAAACGTTGACAAAGACCACGCGTTTGGAAAGTACTACTCCAGGCCGAAGGAGGGTGAGTGGGGAGCCGGCCGTGGCCCTCCAGGGGGCGGACACGGGGTCCTCTGCTGGGGTGGTGACACAGGCTCACTTGGCTGTTAACCTGCCCCAGGCTTCTCAGCCAGGGGTCAGTGCCAAAATGAAGCCTAACTCACACGTTAGGAGCTTGGACAGTCCACTTCTGCTCTTACTGCGTTTCCACCTTTTCCCCGTGAAGAGGGTAAAGGTGAAGAACCACAGCCGCGCAGTGTCTGCCAGGTAGCTCTTGTTAAAACAGGAGGCGGAGGTCCAGGGGAAGGGAGCCCCGTGCTATTTGGCACTGTCAGTGATTATTACAGGAGGAGCTTCATCCTAGGATGTGAGTCTTGCGCTTCTGGCTCGTCCCTGAGCTGCAGTTCAAGTTCAGCTTAGAACCACTGGCCCTGGAACACACCAACACCAGTGCAGCCAACTGCTTTTCACGTCAAAGCCTCACTAGGAGGATGGCGATGCTGGCGTGGAGACACCCTCGGCTTACGCTGTGTGTCGGCATCAGCTGCAGCAGAGAGCGCTTCGCGTGCGTGGGCTCCGCGTTCTTGAGGAACCACAGCCTGGGCAGAAGCGTCCAGCAGGACTCCTGCTGTAGCCACCCTTTCTCCCCTCCTGGCTTCTGCATTCCCACAGGGACTTCAGGGCTCCCAGGCAGAGAGTGGGGTCAGCACCTCTGCAGGGTTGCAAGGCTCTTAAGTTGTCAAGGACAACGTAGAACCTTCATTCCCCAGTGTGTCGATTTGTTCCGTGTGGCGTCTGCTAATGGAATGTGTACATCTGCTTCCTTCCAGCACCGGAGCCGATGGAGCTTGACGGCCCCAAGGGAACTGGATACATCAAGACTGAGTTGATTTCTGTGTCTGAAGTGTAAGTGAGCGCAGAAGAGTGGCATGTTCAGAACCTCCAGCCGGCCTCTCCTGGCTGGGGCCTCTCAATTGTATTTTGCTTTGCATTTTGCGTTTCCATTGTAACTGCTCTGCCATCACAGTTGGACTTCCTGGAAAGAGCCCAATTAGGATCCTGGTGTCATTGCCTGCCAGCATTTTACTGCCTTTAAAAAGCAAAACGCAGATCACAACAAATAGCTACAGTTGTATTGTAAGGTATATACATTCTCCCCAAACTGAAACTTGGAAAAAGTAAAAATAAAATAAACTGTTTTTCAGTGGGAAAGTAGTTCTTTTCAATTGAAGAAAGGCCAAATAATGATTGAGATCCATTTTCTCCACTTGCTTTTATTTTGTCGTTTCATTTCATAAAAGGTAGAAAGAGTTTTGGGAAGTCATTGTCAGTTATTTGGCCCGCAGCACTGTCTTGGGGTGAATGGATGTAGCCTTCATGTAAAAACCCTCTGTGGATCCGATTTATCTGCATACAGACCTCAAGGTAGGGATGAGGGACTCCTTGGGCACTTCTCAGGTGCCGCTGTGTTCAGGGGAAGCCACGAGACACTGTTGTCCCAGGAGGTTGCCGCACACACTCACATGAGGCATCACCAGGCAGAAGCGCACAGGTCCCTCTGGCTCTTGTTCCACACTCCCAGAGTCCCGCACACTCCCAAGGGGCCGGGCTGGGGACATTAACCTCCCACCCACGATCTCTACTCTGACAGATGCATTTTATAAGTGTATTGACTTTCCCCCGGTCAAAGTGCAAAGCAGTCAGTCCCAGAGAGGATAAAACTACCTGAATCTGCACCCTGCTTTCATAACACGAGTGTTAACACTCCCCTCTTCTCTCTCCCCATTCCAGCCACCCTTCTAGACTTCAGACCACAGACCAACTGCTCCCCATGTCTCCTGAGGAGTTTGACGAAGTGTCTATGATACTCCCTGTGGAATTTGACAGCGTGGTGAGTACAGCAGCAGGAGTGTCCCACCCTCTGTGACCGATGTCCCCTGAGGCCAGGCAGACCGTGTGCCCGCACATGGGTGCCAGGAGGAGCTCTGGCAAAGCCGTGGAAAGGGCATTTGTTAGGTGAGCCAGGACCAGTTGGAGCCTGCTGTTACAGCAGCCTGTATCCCTGCAGAATATTGGTGACATGTCAGAGATTTAGCCCCCCACCCCCTTGAAGTAGAAAGTTCTGTCCATGTCGGAATGTCACACGTTAAGGGATGGATATTTTTCTGAGAAGACGTTGTTCTCCTTCACCTCCTTTTGGGGAGTAGTGCTCAGTGGCTACTCAATTATGCTTAGCAGCAGTGAAATGCTTTCATGTGCGCTACATATATATATCTTTTATTTATATTGAGAGCGAGTTTGGGTACCCGCTCCTGAACCAATGAAGGGCTTCTCCGGAATACACAGTTCAGGGAGCGAAAGAGTCAACAAGCTTCATGGTAGAAATAGGAACCTGGTTGTTTGCAAAGGAGAAATCTCCCTTTGGGGGAATGTTTTTCAGTATATCAGATAGAACTGTTTGCCTTTCATCCTGAAATCCTTCCTCTCCAAGATTGTGTTTGGTAGGCTGGAGTTTTGCTGATGCTGTTTAATTTTAAGCCCTTTTCCACACGGAGCCATTCCAGTTCATTTTTTAAAGTTTGTTTAATGCTTTAGAAAAAATCCACTCATTCATGGCCTTTTATACCTGGTGCCTGGCAAAAGTAAGTGCACAGTAATGAACGCGGAAGTCAGGGCTGGAGGGGAGAGGGGGGGTGAGGGTGTCTCCACAGTCTTCACAAACCCAGGGCTGTTACTTGTGCATACAGGGACTGTGTGTGTGGCCTCTGTAATCCCTGCTCAGATTCAGTTCCCCCAGCTTAACTTTGTCTCCATCCCCTTTCCTCACCTTATGAAGTCCAGGCTAAAACCTGTGGAGATCCTGCTTTCTTACGCTGGCTGATTATTGAGGATGAAAAAAGGTCACTTAGAGAAGTGCCTAGCGAGGGTGGCGGCAGAGTGGCTCCAGTCTGATGGCAAAATGCACCTTTTATCTGTGCATGGCTGCATACCAACGCTGCTATAAAAAGTGCTTTGTAAGCCCAGTACTAAAACACGGAATAAATGTGAAGTCCAATTCAGAAAACATAAGATAATACGAATGGGACAAAAACAAAGGGTGAACTTCTTTTACGTCGCCCTCCTTCTCCTGAGCAAGTTATATCCGCACCACCACTGCCGCCATTGATTGACAGGGCACTTGATGTGCCCACGAACAGCCAGATTTGGCTTCATTCAGAACTCCCCTGCGGAAGCGTCTGTGTCCTGTTGGCTCTTTCATTCTCTTCTGAAGAGGGCGCAGTGCAGCCTCGGTGAGAGGCCTGTGAGTGGGATTTCACAGGCAGAGGCCCAGCGCTGTTGTCGCTGTCCACCCTGCGACCTTGAGAAAAGAGGGATTAGCTCCCTCCCTCGGTGCACGCAGGGGCACTGCTTTCTGCGTCTTGGGAGGGTGCTGGGAGAACAATGTAAATACCGGAAGTAAAGGGCAGGAAATGGGCTCGTGGTCCTCAGGTGTCCTCTGTAGTCATCCCATTGCATTCCAAGTGATTTCGTGCTTTTATTTATAAAGTAAATCTCTCTGTCCCTCTCTCTCTGCCTCTGTCCCTGTCCCTCTGTTGGATATGTGCGCACACACACAGGTGGAGTCTCCAGGTAAACCCATAAAGACCTAAAGCTGAAAGAGGCCATAACACAGGAACTGTCCTAGTTAGATAAAATAAAAACTGGATTGGTCTCTAGGTTGGGTTGACGCTCCCCATCCCCTGGGGGCTGCTCTGATCCCGACCTTGTGACTTTGTTCAGCACCTACTCCTTCAGCCCTCCCTTGGGCTGAGTGCCAGAGGCAGAGGCAGCTGCTGGGAGCTGGTGATTCTCCCCAAGTCTGGAGGTTGCAGCTCTGGGCAAAGGTGGCACCAGTCAGCCTTGGTAGCAAGAGGACCACGGGCTGCCCAGGAAGCTGTTTGGGAGGGCAGAACGTCGGTGTTCCGTGCAGCGTGACTTCACTGTCTGTTTAGTCCAGATTTCCGGTCCAATAGACTTTCCCTCTGGCCCACAGCAGAGCCAGGCTACTCTCTGAGAGCCCTTTGGGCAGAGCTCAGAGTAACAGGAGCACAGCGCTGCCTGCTAGGGACTGGCAGCCCACTGAGTAGACGCGGACCTTGAGGTTTCGAGAGGTTCGGTAGCATCTTGTCACAGTGACAGGGTTTGAATCTAGGCTCTCTTCTCTTTCTCCGCGCTTAAAGTCCACCAGCCCAACCCCAAGTCTGTGCAGTGGACGAGGCTGCAGCACAGCGGCAGCCTGCATTGTGCCTTTGGACCCCCGTGTGCCGAGCACCGCTGAGCCCTGGGGACTTGGAGACGTGTCCAAGGTGACGGTCTCATGCCCAGCAGCGGCTCGGTCTCCCCGCGCCCGTCACCGGGGCTGGAGCACGCTTCCCTAGAGAACTGCTCTGTGCGTTGTCTTACGTTCAGTGGTGTCCCTGGCCTCTGCCTACTTGACAGACATCAGCAGCACCCCCGACACTAAGTCCCAACAAACAGCAACATCTGATGTCACGGGGGACGGAGTCAGCCCTAACTGAGAACCTCTGGTCTGGGGAAAGATGGGCCTCAAGTGGCCGTATCCAGGGCAGCTGGGCGGAGGCACTGTGGGCAGGTGGAGGGGACTTAGTGTTTCTGCTTCCCGGGCTCAGATCCAAAGTACATTTGTTTATTTGTGCTACTGAATGACCTTTAAGGAAAAGTCATCATTTCCCCCTCATTCCTCTCCTCCGGCGTATAGGTCAGCATTTCTCCACCCTTGTTTTACACAAGCAGATTTGTCACATTGCTCTGTCCCCAGACTTGCAAAACAGCAGAAAGCTTTCTGCCGTCTGGATGGATTCACAGAGCTAATCCAGCCGGCTATAGAGGAATAATCCTCCCGCTTAGGTGATATAAAAGGTCTTGATTACTCCAGGAAAATGGACAGGATGTGCTGAGGGCCCTCTAACCACGGTGGTAATTTGCTTGCCGTGGGAAGTATCTTCCTGCTGTCCTAGTCTAGAGTGGACAGTAATGTGCAATATGTGAATCTGCATGTCACCGGATCAGTGTAATGAACTTAACCACATTTTATCTTTTACAGATGCATGCGGTCTAGAGCATGAATTTTTCTCATCTCCTCTGGCGACATTTTTCCTTCCAATGTGCGATCTCCTCACGCTCCTCTGTCCCTTCACGTCCTGTATTTCTAGGGAAATGAAAGAAAAGACAAGAAATCGCAACCTGTGGTTGCAAGTGAATATGACTCTAACCCAAAAGCATGCTCTTCCTGAGACCGTCATGTCGTCTGATTGACGGTGACACCAAAAGACTCTCCACAGAGTGGATTTGCAAAAACATCCAGGGACCCCGAAACCTCACACCTTGAATGAGAGTCCTTGGGGAAAGGTGAGAAGTTCAGCAGCATCTGCAGATGCTGTGCAGTCCGTGCCTGAGCGTTCCACTCGCCGGACAGATACACGGTGAGGTAGGGAGCTTGATGTAGGAATGGCGCTTTCTTCTCTGGACGATTGTATGCGTTCTTTCTGCTTTAAGTATGGGTAGAAGTTCTGCACTGTTTTATCTGTGGAATAGTTCCAAGCCAGTTACATGGTATATTAACACCTTATCAGAGGTACCAGTCTCCCATCTGGGTAGGAGACAGTGAAAACTAAAGACACATTCTGTCTTAAAGAAAATTACCTTGTGTTAGTTCCGGCTCATATTCCTGGCTAACAGCAGTAGAAGGGAGTTCGTGCATTTTCCACATTCATGAATAGTGTGTTCTGCTTTACTGTGCCTAATTAGCAACATCTCCCTTGAGGAAGATCTCCTTTCTGAACAACTGAAATTATTTACAGGTGTAGATAAACCCAGACATTTAAGTCATGTTTCTTAAGTGGATTAATGTGTCTTTATTGTTATTAGCCGGTAATCTCTTAGCCTCACAGTTTCGAATGGAGTAGGGAAAGTAGTAACTGACGACTTGAATCGCTAACCAGTGATAATGTAAGAATCCAAGTAACCAAAACTCGTGTCCTATGTACCTGCACTGAGAACTGCGTGTTCTTCCCTGATGAGTGTGTTTTTCTGACATTCTCACTTGCGGATGGCTCCATGATCTGTCCTGCGCTGTTTCCACCCCTTGCTGACTGGGTAGTGGTTTGTGGATTCTCCGTGTGCAGTTTTCCTTCCTTTCTTCCTCACCTCTGACACCCAGTGGTTCCAGGTTTTATTGAGAGGGATGTGCTGACAACTAAAAGCACACCTCATGTCTCCATCGTCACCCCCATACCTGCAGTGTTGTACACGTGCTTCATTTTTCTTGGATGGAGATAAAGTTTTCTTGAAATTCGTTTTACAAGTGGAGCTCACGTATACATACTGCATTAAACATAATCTGAGCACGGTCTGGTGCTGCACACACACCGACGCTGCCTCTGTTTTTACCTAAGGTAGCATGAACCTGGCTGGGTTTCGGTTCACTTCGTAAATGGAAATAAGAAATAAGATGTCATTTTAAGAAATACTTTTTTAATTGCTGGGATTTAACCATTTGCCATATTTTTGTTCTGTGAGTATGTTATTGGCATGCTTTTATTGCCAGAGACTTGGTTTACTTTTAAGAAGTATTAAAATTCTAATGTTAGTCTCTCGTGAGCATTTAGTGTAAAGATTTTTAAAGTTGCTGGCCTTATGAGTTGGTTTAATATTTACTTTTCTTACATATCAGTCCTTATTTTAAAATAAGGTTAATACTAGTGTCTTCCTCCTTGTCGCTCTTATTTACCTTGCTTCTAATCAGAATTGTGGCAGGTTGAGAGGCCAATGGGGGATGAGCTTGTATTCTTGTATAACTGACCATTGTATGAATCGCTGACCCGATCCTGGCTGAAGGGAAGTTGGCATTTTGACAACGCCTGGCATGGTGCTTATGTTGCACTGATGGGTTTGAAAGATGTTCTAGGTCATTTTTCTTTCTGGTGGTAAAAGCCCACTCACTGAGTATTCTGTCATCTGATTAAAACCTTGCTGCTTTTTCCTTTAAAAGAAAAGTGAGGGAGGGGGGTTTAGATGCGTAAAGTGCGTATGTATCACTTGGGATAAGCCTACCATTTTTAAGCAAAGAATTTCCTGAGACGGCAGAAAGTAGCAAAATACGAATTGCCTACAAACTAAAGTGTAACATGAAGGTAAGTCTTAATGAGCAAAGCTGTTCTCTGTCACATCTGATTGTCCCAGGGGAAGGACAGGAAGAAGCTAGAGAGTGTTTTGAGCACTCTCATAGCCACCATTGACACTGGGGTGCTGTTCCCACAGTAAAGCATATTTACCGGAGTGGTGGTGTCCTTTGGTTAAGATTCACTCCTTTATTAGGCCATCAAGTATATGTACTTGGAACTGCCATGAGCCAGGCACTGGTGACGTGTTTGGGAAATGCAGGGACCCTCCTCCTGCGATCCTGAAATGTCGTAAGATACCAGGTCAGATTTTCTAGTGCAGTCACCTTGTTTATTAAAGCTTAAAGATTTTTGTGAAGCAAACATAGCCAAAAACTACACATAAGGTAAATGTAATATATAAAAATGACTGTTTCAAAGAAATGGCATTTAAATCCATTTTAGGAAGGCTAAAGATCATCGGTATTGTTTTCAGAGCCTTCTAAGTTACGTTAACTGAGCTCGTGATACTGATCCCATGATCCTTGCTTCCAAGTTCTGGTGAACTGACTTCAGGTTATGTGTTTGTTATACTCACTGTGAGGTTAAACTTTTCTGATTTACTGTCCAAAACGGAACCATAGTTACGTGAGTATAGAAGAACTCAAAGCTGCCTGAGATGTACAGAGCTGTCAGATAGCCTCTGATCAAACTCGTGGGTTCTGCTGTGACACGTTGGTACCTTACTGCGGCGTCTCTGCAGCCTCCCCCATTCCCTGATGTGTCAGCTGTCCTGGCTGCTTGCCCGGCTCACCTCAGAGCAGGCTTTTTATTGACCATTGGGAGAGGCAGCAAGGGGCGCAGCTGGCCATGCATAGGCTTGGAGGTGGGCTCAGGCCTAGGAATAGAGGTAAAATCCCCAACTTCTCCCTTTAATGCTCTCCATCCAGTGGCCTCATTCCCTGTTTTAAATAACTTCCTTAACTTTCTAAGCCGTCTCATCCCAAACACACATATACCTTAGCTAACTGGGTAAATCACATCCTTTCCAGACGTAACTGTAAAATCACCTTTCCCCGAAAGCCGTGTTTTAACTGTTACCTAATACATGAATAGGCTGCTTCCCTGAACTAGCCAGTCTATAATTTATGAATCTACTCTGACTTAGGAATTTTATTGTGAGGATTAGCAAGTGAAATTAGGAAGATTACCCCCACCCTCAAAAAAGTCCCGAAAAAATAATACGGGATGATCTTGGTATATAGCAGTGAATACAACCTTTCACGGCTGGGATCACCCTGGTGTTCTCGGTGCTGCTGTGCTGTCCCGCAGTGGGCACCTGCGTACTCGGCTGGAGTTGGCCATGCGTCAGGACAGAGCAGTGTAGCACTTACGCCTGTCCTTGTGGCTCAGCAGAGCCTGCCTCGGTGGCACACACCTGTAATCCCAGCACGTGGGAGACCGAGGCAGGAGCATGCCAGTACGAGCCCAGCCTGAGCAACTTCGCAAGTCAGCAAGACTTGGGACAAAATTTTAAAATTTTTGAAAAGGGCTGAGGAACTAGGTCAGTATGAAGATGGTAGGTTCAATCCTCAGTATCACAGAAAAAACATAAGCAAAGACAGAAACCACCACACGGAGGGGAGGCCCAAGTTAATGTGCATTCAATGCGCATGCTGCCCGCACTGCACGTGACCTGCATCGTAGGGTGCACGGGAAGCCTGGACTGAGAGTTCTGTAGCACGGCCTGCCCTTGGGCCCCAGCTTCACAGAAGAGTGGGTCAGGTAAGGGAACTTAAGGGAATTCTGGTATCTCTTGCATTCCTAAAACGTCAGCAATGAGGACGGCAGGACACGGTGACTCCTGTGGCTGAACAGCTTAGTCTGTGAGAAGGAACCGTGATAAATGAAGGCATGGTACTCTTGGGGCCCACCTCCGCCTCTCTGGTTGGAGAACCACACCGACCCCAACGCTGAGAGGGCACCTGCAGTTCCCACATGGGAGTGAAGCAGGCGCTCAGGTTCACCCGCTGGCCTAACATACCACCTAGTATGCACCTGGTTCAGCTCTTCATGTACATTTCAAGGCTTTGTGAAAATTACCTTTGCTGTCTTTCAAGAACATGTGCAGTGGTTCAGTCTGACAAGCATTCACCTACTTTGTAAGCACCTCAAAACTGTAATAGGACGGGGGACTAGAAATGCATCTCCCAGCTCCTCCTGCTCAGAATAAACTCCTTGTAGGTCTTCTCTTGGTTGTTTTGGGGATCCCACCTAGCACCTAGCACCCTGCATACCACCTGGCTCACAGAAGACATCAGAAATGGGCCTGAGGGGTGGGGGTGTGTAATCCCAGCTACTCTGAGGCTGAGGAGGAAGACTGCAAGTTTTAAGCCAGCCTTTGCCACGTAGTGGCACCCTGTCTCAAAATAGTGAAAAGGACTGGGAGTGTAGCTTTGTGGTAGAGTGCCCCTGGGTTTGACCCTCAATGTCATTAAAAAAGAAAAAAGTATATTTAAACCAGCTGCACACACTATCTATGTTTAGCAGATTCCCAACTCTGTAGCAAAAGAGAAAAGTTTGCTTTAAGAAGATTCATTTTTCGGGACTGAGATTTAGCTCAGTGGCACAGGGCCTGCCTGGCAAGTGCAAGGTCGTGAGTTCGATTCCCGGTACTGGAAAAAAACAACCAAAAAAAAAGAAGATTCATTTTTCACACAGGTTTTTTTTTTTTTTGATACATGTATTTATTATGCTGTAAAAAGCAACACTACCTGATTTCATTTAAAATAAATGTTTCCCAATTTCAGAATACTTACAATTTATAGTTTCAAGATTAGGTTCACTTTGGGCGATGTTGGAAGCAAATACATTCATAGCTGTGTAACCCCCAGGAAGAATCTAAATCCAACATCAGGTCCTTCAGTCCCTGCCGGACAGACAACGGCATGAACAGCGAATCCAGCTCTGCAGCTAAAGGGCGGTGGGGTGGGGGCACGGGACGACACAGCATATCGACAAGATGCGCGGGTCAGAACCAAGACCAGCAGCAACAGCGGTGTATACAAAGCTTTAAACCAACAGGACCACCTAAAGCTCTCATGGTACACAAAAAGCCCGGGAAATCTTAGAGCCAAAACAAAACTCTTTGGAGTTTACTGATGGCAGCAATTAATAGCACATTCCAAAAGCATTTAAATCAAATTACTCATTACTACCAGCCAATAGCAGAAACGTAAGCGGAGGGCACAGAGTATAAGTAACATGGATAAATAAGGGCGCATTGAGCTACACCACCAAGGTTTTACAAAAGCTTTGATTTGAAAAAGATGAAAACTCTTTGTTCCCAAATCGTTGAACTTCTTACTGTTCGAGAAAAGCCTCAAAATCACGGGTTCTCTTCGAGCCGTGTGATGGAACCACCTTAATGTTCCATTTCAGGCACGCAAAGCTGCTGCGTGTGCAAGCTGATCTCACCTGACACGCCGGGGTGGTGACGCCGCGCATCTGCGGGCTCATCAGACCCGAGGGCAGGAAGCAGCACAAGACTGGCCGCCAGCCCGTCCTCGGGTCCTCGGGTCCTCGGGTCCTCGGGTCCTCGGGTCCTCGGGTCCTCGGGTCCTCGGGTCCTCGACACAGAGGCTGCGCCAGGGAACGGCTGGCCTCGGTCTCAGCAAGGGAGGTGCTGTCTAGGGAACAAAGCTGACGTCAAAGCACCTGAGGTTGCTGCGTGAGCATGCGCAGCAGGCGGGGTGAAGCCTGGAAGCAGCCGTGTGTGCTGATAGGGCACACAAAGGAAGGGGCCTTCTTACCGTGGTAACAGCCAGCTTTGAGTAGTTGAGAATTTTTTTCCTTTTGGTAAACATAGCTTCAGAAAAGTCCATTGTGTGTGTGTGTGTGTGCGCGCGCGCGCGCGTACGCTGGACACGTGTGCTTAGCATCAGATACCTCACTAACATACCCCTCTCTTTGAGGCATAAGAGGAAAAAATGTACGTGCGATTCCTAGAAAATTGTTACTTCCATTCCGAGGGCCCCTTTTGCCCACTTTCTAAATCATGAATTACCTCCCTTAGAGAAACGGTGGGCCTCAATTTAAAGTGAAATGGCCTCATTACTGAACTACAAAGCCCACCCAGTTATACACTAGAGAATCAGAAGACTGGAGTGACTGTGGTCCCCTGAAGAGGACAGATACCCTGCTGCAGACTTTTAATGACAGGTTCGAAAACAAATGTCGTTTGCAGTTCCTGTATCATCAGAATGACTTTGGGAGATAGAGCACTTCTGAATTGGTCTCTGATGTCTTTAAGAGCTGTACTAGCACATGCCTTCACTGTCTTAGACACAGCAAGTGGAGCAGTTTACACTTAGCTTAATAATTTTGTCTCTGGTTCGTCTTCTATAGACAGAGGGTGAAGTTTGCATTTTCTGACCGTGGAAACATGAAAACTGCATAGTTGGCCAGCACTCCCTGTCCCGGCCAGAGGGAAGAGGCAGATAGCTAACGCCTGAGGACAGAGGCTGGACTACGGGGACATAGAAAAAGGAAGGTTTTCTCAAAAGTATAACTATATTCACACATATATTTTGGTCACCAAACATATCTGAAACAGATTCCCTGATACGTCTAATCTGAATTTACCTATCCTACTAACAGCTGTAACTATGACAGTTTTTAAAGAGTCATATCATGAATTGGGGTGATAGAAGACATTTTAAACACTCAACTGTAAGTGCATGTTGTTGTTCAAACACTCAAACTAAATCTATATTTGAAGTCTTCAGAATCACACAGTTTGCTTCTCCAGACAGCCTTGACCGCCTGGGACACTGTACCACAGAGCTTAATTTATAAATTTGTATCAGCAGGTCATCACCATAAACTGAAAGTTCACAACACACACAAATCATGAAGACCACACAGTTAAGCTAGCAGTGGTAACTATTTCTTTTACATCAAATTGTACAGTGCACGAGGTAAATATTGCTCACATTATGGAGGGAGATCGTTTTATTTCTATTTTTTCCCCAAAGAGATCAGATTTGTCCTGTGCGCACAATGAAGAAAACTCCAGTAACACTGAAATGAACAAATGTTGTAAAATATACATCACTACCAGATAGAAATACACACGTTCTTCAGAACCATTTTCCACAATTAAATAGGTAAGTGACTTCAACCTCAGGATTGAAGGCCATTATAACAATCCATCGAGATTCTTGTGGACGGTTTGGTTTTCCTTCCCATTGTTGGAGTCTCCTTGAGGTGTGTACTGGGTTTGGTATTCCTGAAGGATTTTAAATACGTCGTGGTGTCCAAAGTGCAGTGCTTCATCCATGGGAGTGTTATTCCACCTAGAACAAAGACACAGATGGACAGGTGGGATGTGGATTTCTGTATGAAGGTGATCACCCCGAATTCCTACGTTTTCAGGGCAGGCTAAATGGCCATTCAAACTTAGCCACTTAAGTATAAATGAACAGGGAAATGTAGAAAGGGACTTATAATTCAAAAAGTGGTCTCAGCAACAAGTTGGGGTGCGAGGAGAAAAAGGATCTCTATAAAAGAATCTTGTTTGCACACCCCACTGCTTATCGGGGATCTTTGTAAGGGAAGTGCTACTGTTGACAGATGTAACAGACACACCTAGGGATCCTGAATTGTAGCTTCATGAAAAGCACAATGGATCTCTTTTGGAAAAAAAAAAAAAGTTAAAAAAAATTCAGGTAAATATCATGCACCACCCTAGCGTTTGACATAAAGTTTGTGATCCCATCAGTTCAAAGATCACATTAAATCTCAGGAGTCTGAAAATGATCATGACTCACAAGAGTTTAAGCACACACTGGAGGGGCAAGACTGGCCCACAGGAAGTGACGTTTTCATCGTCTCCAGCCTGGATAGGAAACAGTACCCTCACTGGACCACTGCTGACTGGAAAACTAACTTCCCCTCGCTGAGCAGCTGAAAGTGAGGAAGGTGAAGACTGCAGAAGAAATAGTTGTCAGCAGTGACTCATCAGCTAAACCTTTTGCAAAGAAAGACAGCACCACAAACCCGAGGCTCCAGTCAGTGGGGTGCACCCGGGTCCCCCGACACTTCGCAAACAGCGACTCCAACCACCTCCTTTGTACCGCTAGGTCCGGCTTCCCTGCGGCTGCTGGGTGCTTATCCCCGGCCCTGTGTCACCCTCCCGCCTCTTCCGGAGAGCCCCTTCCTGTCTCTGCCTTCCTTTTCAGTCTCCAGCTTTTAGCCTTTTAAAGGGGTCGCAGTGTGAAACCAAGAGGTGTTTAAAATTCTTAACATTTGTGGTAACGTAGTTTTTAAAATCAGGTGAGTAACCCTTTATGTGTATCTTTGTGCTTCTCAAAAAAAAGCAGAACTGGTGGTGCTTTGCTCCTCTCAAGGCCTGCGTGAGTTAGAGAGTCAGTGGTTTCACACAGGGACTCGCAGTCATTTTCAACAGCAAGTGATTTTGTGAGTTTTTGTGCCAAGAGCAAGTTACCATTTTGTATGAAATAAGAAAAAGAGTTACCTTGGGTTTCCAGTCTCCCTTCTGCAATTGCCTGTACAATGGTATTTCTACCTCCACAATCATGGAGGCCACTTTTGGGAACGGGGATTTCAAATACCCAAAGCACAGTAAGTATAGTGTCTCCAGTGTGTATTAAATACTGCTTTAGTTGGAACTGTAAACACAGGGAAACGCACTTTACACTTTCTTGCTCTCAGAAGAGCTGGGATGCGCCTTACCTCAGGTGGGATGACACCCTGCTGGGGTTTTGGAACATGGTTTAATCAGGATGCTTTGTAGCAATTACAGGGATAAGAAAATCCAGTTACCACACTGGCTAACAGTTTTTCAGGCACTGGCATCGTAACTTTTCTCATTTCTTGCAAGGTGAACCATTAAGATTCAGGCCTCCATTAAAAAAAAAAAAAATAGTTACAGCTTCATACACAGAGCTAATTGCTAGAGAGGAATCAAGCTGCTCCAAACGGAACACAGCTCCCATTTCTCAAATACAACCCCGAACGCCTCGTAGCTGTCGGACCTCCCCACCAAGTACTTTTCCTTATAAATTCTTCGAAGCCTTTATTCTCCTTTTGGCTGGTTCGTCCCTCCGCTCCATAATGTCCAGCACGTGAGGACAGTGGCCACTCACTGACAGGCAGACCTCAGTGGCCCCGCAGCCCTGCCTGGCCGCTGGGTGGACAGCATCTGCTGTAGGATGTACTGCAGTGTGCCAGGTGAACCCCGAGATGGGGGAGGAAAGGTGCAGACTTCCTTCTTCCCGCTGCTGACAGAACGCTCTTCTCTTCCTTCCCTGCCTTCCAATCTCATTCTTCCCGAAGCCCTCATTAAAACTCAGCCTCCACAAAGCCACTTGAGACAGAGTCCACTGACATCCAGGGATTTCAACAAAACCCAAGCTACTTTCGCGTTCTCTAACACTAGGTTTCTTACACATGTATTGTTAGGTGTTTCTGCAAATGTTCATCTTATCAGCCATGTGTGTACTTTAAAGACCTATCAGGACAGAAATCCTACATTCCCTTTCCAACCACAAAGAACTGACTTCTTCAAACAGGGCATCGGCTGATAGGCAAAACTGAAAATTTCCGGACAGTATACCGTTGGATAAGAAGCAGGGTACAGGAGCTGGAGTAATCCGTGTAAGACACCAAGATATTCGAGAACGCCACAGCGGTGCACACTCCAGTCCTGCATCATAAAACCCTGACCTGCCAATTACATTAGAAGGGAACACAAATGCTCACCTGTCTTTGGGGAAAGGATTTACTTTGCAAGCTTCCAGCAAAAATTTAACAACTTCAACGTGACCTACATCCACCCAAAAGAGAAAAAAGAGATTTTTAGTTTTGACTAGAATGAAGTCTGGGGGGAAACAGGAGTGGCTAACGTATTACCCTCTGCGGCAGCTACGTGGAGTGCTGTTCTAGAGTCGTAGTCCCGCTGCTCCATGTCCATGGCTGACAACGCAAATCTGGAAGTTCGGAAGCATAGCCATCCATTACGTACAAAGTAAGTGTCACTCACACCTGTAGCATTTACTCCTGTCAGTCCAGGCTAGGGGCCCGTGAGGAGTCAATCCTCGCCTGATTTGATAATGGGAACTAGAACCCCACCCACCCAGTACACAGGTGCCCTGCCTGGGTGGATGCCACTTCACCTGTCTTCTCTAGCTTTGCTGCTTTGGGCTAAGATGAGATATTAACCATCTCCCGTTCAAACTCAAGAACAACGGCATAGCTCCGTCCAAGTGTAGGTGCTATGACTCAAAAGGGCAAGAAACTAGTAAGTGATATGTTTTCACTAAGACTCACACTGTTTGGACAGTCACTTTACAGTGTATAGTTTGCGTGTACTAAGGAGGCTTGAAACAAGCATGGAAACTAAGCCTAGACACTGTCCACTTGAAAGGTCAGGTGCAACCCTATACAAGCACCTTATGTTAGTGAAACGGTAGAATATGGCCTTTCTAATTCTGGTGATCTGCCGGACCACTGAATGCGTCCAGTAGCAAACCATTAATATGAATTGGCCACTTCCCACTGGGGAAACAGATCTGGGCTCTTATAGGAGAAAGAAAAGGGTAAGACTGCATAGCAGGCCTTCAGCACTGGAGCTGGGGATTTAATATAAATCCTGTTTAGATCACCTGTACTAGAGGGAAACAGTGAACCCTTAGTGTGTGCTTTCCAGGAAGGAATTTAGTAGGTACCTGCGCAGCACGTCCTGACCACCCTGTTAACATACCTTCGAAGGGCAGACACGTCTCCAGTATATGCAGCAAACAAAAGGTTTATCACTGACTTTACCTGTGAAGAAAGAAAAGTTCAGAGCTTGACAGGTAAACACACAATGTCCAGCTATCCCAGGAAGTATTTCCATGCACCTTGAACACTCCAGCCAGTCACTCATGAAGTTATCTCAAGTACACGTCCATAAGCAAAAGCACACACCTGGTATTTTAGCGGGACTGTGAAAGGAGACTGAGTAATAAAGGTATGGTACGCGAAGGAAGGAATGGAAAGATGGCGTCAGCCCGGACAAAAGAATGGGTGCTCACAGTCCGTGAGAGGTGTGTGCTTGGGGTGACTGAACAGTCTTTAGAACTCATTTAATATGGCTCAGCATGGTGATCAAGTTTGTCTACTGATAAAATTCACAGCACGTCCTTAGTAAAACCAAAGTCATGCTAGGTAAATGGGTAACCTCGCCAGCCATCATTTGCTTCATCAATCACGGGCTTCCTTGCATCGTAAGAGACAAAATTCAGTGTTTAGTGTCTTAACTGGGGCTTTTCTGTGCTTCCCAGGAAAGAGTCCAGTTCTGTGCCCTGAGGCACAAACGGGCCTTCTCAGCACCCATGACGCTGCTTAAAAGGAGGGCAAACTCCCCAAGTATCAGTCACCGTCACTGGGTGCGTCAACACACAGCGAGTATCTATTTTGAAGGCCATTCGCTTGGGGTTTGCTTTCATAAAGACTTCACCCAACTCTGCTTATGCAAAATTCCACATTGATCCTCTGTTTGTAAGAGCTTCATACGTTCCCAATTCTGTCTCACATTTTGCAACTTCACCTTTCACACCGATGACTCAATGGCAGAAACAATTTTAACTGGAGGGGTGGAAAGTAGCTTGGCTTGCACAGCTTCAGCACGTGAAACCAGAGCGGGGTATACTGGTGCATGCCTGTAATCCCAGCACTGAGGAAGGCTGAGGCAGGAGGATTGTAAATGACGCCCAGGTAGGCAACTTAGCGAGACCTTGTCTGTGTCTCAAAAATAAAAGGGCTGAGGCAGAGTACAAAGGCCCTGGGTTCAATCTCCAGTGTTGCAAGAAGAAAAAAGAAACCCAAAAATTGGGATCCTCCCTTAGCACAAGTGTCCTTCTCACGCAACCTGGAAACGTATAAACTGGAAATGACGGCTGCTGGCCTTCTGTAATTCAGTGTTTTATATGACTAGTCCACAAGACGCTCTGCGAAAGTTGGGGTTCTATGCTTGGATTTGTCCTGTTGGATGCAGTAAATCCCTTTCTTGGAAGCTCATGAGCCTGTGAGAGGGTGTAGAGTTTAGCAGCCCGTCTAGCTAGCAGAGCTGCACACCCCAAAATGCCGCTCCTTACTCTAAGTGTCAGTCTCTCTTCAAAACCACCCTACCTTCGTTCCTCTGGCCCCCTGGCTTTCCTTCCTGCCCGGCCTCCTCTCCGAAGCCAGGCCCTCCTAACAAATCCAGAACACTGTCCAGCAGGACGGAAAGTCTCACCCAGAACGTTCAAAAGCATTTATCAGCATCTCTTGCCAGGGGTTGGACTCCTACATCTCCAACCCACACATTTTAGGCAAAGGAGCTAAACACAGGAGGATCTGGGATGTTTCTGTTTCCGTCCCCGGGTGGCTGATCTGCTCCTTGGTTGTGGACCTCTGTCTCAGATGCCTTCCACTTCCTCAGCGGGATCACTTCCAAACCCCCACTCCCTTCACGCCAAGGCCGGGGGCTACGGATGGGCTGTTGGCAAATCTTCATATTCCCACCAGTCCCTTCTCCCCGCTTCACGATTTCTTTTTGTTTGCTCCGTTCATACTTTCAACCTTTCATACCAACAGGGACCCTCAAAACAGATGATACTCATGAAAATTTTATTGAAAGAAAATGCTGTTCACATGTGAATGCTTGCCTCTAAGACCCACTCTTCCTTCCCACCGTGCCTGGAACCAAAAGGCATCCCCCTCACCTGTTCCTCCAAGCACCTCTCCGGCTCCTACCAACTGCTCCCCCCTCCACAGGCTCCCATGCGTCTGCCTTGGCACGGTCACAAATGCATCCTGCTTTGAGAAACCATGAGACCCTACTGTCCTCCCCTTCCCGAGAGCCTTTTCCCAAGGATTCCATGAAAATGAGCTTCGCACCACGGCTCCCGCTAAAGTGATCTCAGCAGCCCCAGCAGCCTTCCCATGCCCAGTCCCCCTCGCCCGACGCCTCCCCGAGCGCTTGTCTTCCTCGACGCCGCTGGCCCTCATCTCCTTCCTGCTGGCTGCTGGGAGGGTGCGTCCCTGTCAACTGCCAAGTGGGCTCCCAAGGCCAGCTCCAGACTCCTTGATATTTAACATGCCGTCCCTCAGTTTCCTGTCTTCGAGGCAGAATGACTCCCAATCGAAATCTTTCATCCAAGTCATTGTCCTTGACCTCCACCTGCCCGCCCTGCGAAACTCCACTTGCCTCTCACCCTGACATTTCAAACTCAAAGTCAGCAAGGCCCCCCAGCCCACCTGAAGTCCATGTTCACCTGCCTACCAAATGTCACCGCTAGGGGGCGCATCTCCCACGGAGGTCCAAGCCAGAGCAACAGCCAGCCTTCCCGCCTGCAGTTGGCTCTCCAGGTGATGAGGTGACAGCTTCCTCATGCTCACCTTACAACCTGGGGCATCATCCGGTGTCCTAGGGCCGGTGTGTCTGCTGGCAGGAAGGCACCTTCTTCACTCAAAGGTGCGGACAGGATCTGCATCTTCCCGGAGCAGAATTACTGATCCACAGAAATCCATCACAAAGGATCGTGTTCCTCGATTCTGTGCTCTCACAATCACATCTCAGCCTCAAGAAGCACTCTGCTTTACTTTCAAAGTACGCCTGCATTTCTCACCTCAGTGCTTTTTTTGGTTTTGTAGTTTTTTTGAGACAGGGTCTTGCTGCGTAGTTCAGGGTGGTCTTGAACTCATTAGCCCGGTTGAGCTTTGAACTCAAGGCCATCCTCCTGCCTCAGCCTCCTGAGTAATGGGATTACAGACGTGTGCCACCACGCCCGGCCTCCCAGTGCTCTCCTGCCTAGATGCTCTACGGTTCCACGCTCACCACTCTGCCCTCAGCTCCACCCAGCAGCAGCCGTGCAGGCAGCCAGCACCATGGGTCCATTCACAGGTCATCACTCAGACTGAAGAACTCCCCTCCCAGCACTCCTAACCCCTCACACCCTGCCTTTTCTTTCCAGGCAATTGTTCATAATCGCCACCCACCAACATGTGCATGTGTGCGTGCGTAAACTTTGTCCCACTAAATATGAATTCCATGAAGGCAGAGGCCACAAGCCCCTTCTTCCTCTCTGTAACTCACTACCTACAACTGGTGGCCACTAAATAGCTATTGACTATTCTCTGGCAAAGCATCAGATAATCTTTTACTACCATTTGGGAATTAAATTCTAGCCACTGCTTACTCCTTCACTTCCCTTAACTTCTACACTTCAAATCCCAAGACTGGATTTACTCACTCCTAAACTCACATCCGCTTCTACTCCTCCACCCCTAGGGCGCCCCTCCCCCTCTTGATCATTCCCCAAACACTGCTTTGATCAGTTTCTAAGAGGCTGTCAAGAAACTCCCAAATCATCACTGATAAAATTTAAATTCCTTGGCTTTCCTTGGTGGCTCTTCGGTCTGGCTTATTTTTCTTTCTCAACCTTGACAAGCAAAAGTGGCCTTTCCTGCTGCTCTTGTTTTGTCTGGGTGTCTCTCAGAACTCCCAGATTCCTGACCAACCCTGCCTGCTTCCCAGGCCAGCTTGAAATCCTTCCCTGCTGCAACTCCGTCACAGGGAAGCCACTCCAGCATCCAGCATCCAGCATCCCGCATCCCGCATCCCGACCGGTTGCTGCCAGTCGCCTACACAGCGGCACCCCCCCCCCCCCCGTGACAGCCCATTCCAGGGACAGGATCAGTGAGATGCCCCCTCCCAACCCTGGACACAGCTTCTGTACCTTCCCAGCCACCGTACACACTAGTGATCCCACTTCCTGAAAGCACCTTGTCTCCTTGAGATGCTGTTCTCTGCATCCCCCTCTGTGAACGGTTTTCCAAGTAAGATCCTGCTACATTCCCCTCCCTGTAGCACCACTGCACCTGCCTCATGGTATGTCTGTGTCTTAGCGCCCTCTCCTGAAGAAAAAGTTGCCACCAGCGCTTTCCTACCTGGGAGCTAGGAACATCACCTGTGACCCACCTCCCACCTTTCACAAAATGAGCATCCCCTCCCCACCCCCGACAGGAAAGCACTAGAACGCAGCACATGCATGCGCAACATCTAACACCAAACCCTCAAACGCCCTTCGTGCCAGCAAGCAGCCACTGACGTTTTGAAGTGTATAAATCTTGAAATGCGCTATGGGTAAAATGCCGAGCAAGAAAATGCAACTACTTTCCCAGTTGTGAGACAACAGATGGAGTGTTAGTTCATTTAGGGACAGTTCACTTGCTGCTCTCTAAGGAGTTCTGCAAATATTCCCAAGGGGGAGGACACACCCTCTGCAGCGCCTGCCATGGCAGACACCCCGAAGTGGAGGCCCTGCCCAAGTCCACTCCTCCGCCTTCAAGACTCTCCTAGAGAATCAAGGCACTAACCTGACACAGCCACAGCCCCTGCTGGCTGACACTCACCAAGAAAGCCAAGGTCCGGAAATAATGGCTAACAGTAACCGCCAGGTATGTACACGCATGAAGCCTGTGTGCTGACGAATCATTCCTCAATAACCAAGAGGCAGGGGCTGGGGATTTAGCTCAGCGGCAAAGCGCCTGCCTGGCAAGCGCAAGGTCGTGAGTTCGGTTCCCGGTACCGGAGAAAAACCAAAAAATAAATAAATAAATAAATAACCAAGAGGCACACAGGGCAGTAACATGGTCCCTAGGTGGGTCCTGCTGTTCAGTGGATGGCCATTCACAGGAACGAGAAACTCCATTTGGTAGCTAGACATTACACATTTATTAAATAAACATCAACAGTTTTCCCTTCATCTTGCAGATTTTCCAGTACTACTGCGTTTCCC